CCTAAGGATCTTGAGACTTATAAAAAAGAAAAAGGATACTGAATTTAATATTTCCTATTCACAATTTTATTTGCTTTATATACTAAATGGCATTGATTTTATCTATTAAGTTGATATTGATATATTAAAAAAAAAATTTTTAATAATGAAAAATGTTATAAAAATAGAAATGAAATAATACTTTAAAAATCATATTGCTTTCAAATATTAAAAAAGTTTAATAGATTAATTTTAAAGTACTTGGTACATAAATTTTTTTATATTTATTGAAAATTCAAATTCTATTAAAAACTTAAAAAATTAATATATTAATATTAAAAAAAATGTAAGTCTAAGTACTTGTTGGAAATTAAACGTATTAAATTCATTGCGAAGGCAATTAGCTAGGCCAATTTATTTATGATCGAATTTCATCTATGTTTAATGAGAATTAGGACAATTTCGAACTGTTTATATAACTCTAAAATTTTTCTATGGTTCTAGATAAGAATAGAACTCTCTAATAATAAAATATCAGATAGTAGTAAAACAATTTATTACTTTTTCAATTAAAGTATAATAAGGAATTAAAATCAATAAAATATGATTTCAAGACACTAAAGTTAGAGTGAAGGTATTAAAGTTGCCAATAACTAAATACAATAGCCTTAGATGAATTAATATTTTTAAGGATAATTTAATGAACAGCTTCTTTAATAAGTATAAGCATAATAATTTCCAGGTAATGATTTTAACATATAAATAGATTAAAATTTTGGAGTGATTTCAACCTATACCTAAGGATAATAATTTTATGAATAATAGCAAGGACGATTAAGTTTTTCTGCTGATTAATAATAATAGCCGCTTTAAGCTCAAAATTAGATAGGCCTCCATTAAAATCAATATATTGAATTCCCTAATTTTACTAGTAATCTCCAAGGTTCTCCTGATTAATCCTAATGGTCTATTAATTAGTTTTAAGGATCCCCAAATTAATTCTAAGGATCAAATGGTTAATTTTAAGGGCCACCTAGTTAATAATTTTAAGGGCCTTCTGTTTAATTATAAGGAAAAAGTGGTTCGATTTAAGAGGCTTCTGGTTAAATCTAAGGGCCTCCTGGCTAATTTTAAGACCCTCCTATCTAATTTTAAGGACAGCCTGTTTAATTTTAAGAACCACCAGGTTAATTCTAGTGGTCGTCTAGTTAATTTTAAGAGCAATCTGTTTAATTTTAAGGGCCACCTGGCTAATTTTAAGACCCTACTGTTTAAATTTAACGTTAGATTGGTTCGATTTAAGGGATTCCTGGTTAATTTTAAGATCCTGCTGTTTAAATTTAACGTTAGATTGGTTCGATTTAAGGGATTCCTGGTTAATTTTAAGATCCTGCTGTTTAAATTTAACGTTAGATTGGTTCGATTTAAGGGATTCCTGGTTAATTTTAAGATCCTGCTGTTTAAATTTAACGTTAGATTGGTTCGATTTAAGGGATTCCTGGTTAATTTTAAGATCCTGCTGTTTAAATTTAACGTTAGATTGGTTCGATTTAAGGGATTCCTGGTTAATTTTAAGATCCTGCTGTTTAAATTTAACGTTAGATTGGTTCGATTTAAGGGATTCCTGGTTAATTTTAAGATCCTGCTGTTTAAATTTAACGTTAGATTGGTTCGATTTAAGGGATTCCTGGTTAATTTTAAGATCCTGCTGTTTAAATTTAACGTTAGATTGGTTCGATTTAAGGGATTCCTGGTTAATTTTAAGATCCTGCTGTTTAAATTTAACGTTAGATTGGTTCGATTTAAGGGATTCCTGGTTAATTTTAAGATCCTGCTGTTTAAATTTAACGTTAGATTGGTTCGATTTAAGGGATTCCTGGTTAATTTTAAGATCCTGCTGTTTAAATTTAACGTTAGATTGGTTCGATTTAAGGGATTCCTGGTTAATTTTAAGATCCTGCTGTTTAAATTTAACGTTAGATTGGTTCGATTTAAGGGATTCCTGGTTAATTTTAAGATCCTGCTGTTTAAATTTAACGTTAGATTGGTTCGATTTAAGGGATTCCTGGTTAATTTTAAGATCCTGCTGTTTAAATTTAACGTTAGATTGGTTCGATTTAAGGGATTCCTGGTTAATTTTAAGATCCTGCTGTTTAAATTTAACGTTAGATTGGTTCGATTTAAGGGATTCCTGGTTAATTTTAAGATCCTGCTGTTTAAATTTAACGTTAAATTGGTTCGATTTAAGGGCCACCTGGCTAATTTTAAGACCCTACTGTTTAAATTTAACGTTAGATTGGTTCGATTTAAGGGTTTCCTGGTTAAATCAAAGGGCCACCAGGTGAAACATAAGGAAATACTGGCTTGGTATAACTTCCTATTTAAGATACTAATGGCCAAATTTATTCCCTTGCACAAAAATAACAGTTTCAAATTTCAGCATTACCTGGTCAATAATAAGCTTATTTAGTTAGTCCTTTTGACAATCTTCAATTAAATGCTAGGTCTATCAACAAAAATCAAAAAGTAGACAATAAAGAAATCATATCATTAAAACAAGAAATAGAAATTATCAATTAGGAATTAGAAACATCGAAGAGAAAATCTGATGAAAAAGATAATCAGATAAAAAAACTTTAATAAGAAAAAAAAAAATACGAAAATCAACATCAGGAAAATTTAGATGAATAATAAAAAGAATATGATCAAAAAATAAAATAAATTTAACAAAATTGGGATTATGATAAAAATAAGTTTAAAAATTAAATTGATAATCAAAAGAAGGAAATTGATGAATTGAAGTATTTTATTGATATTATAATTTAGGGAACAAGTTGAGGAACTTATTCAAGAAAATGAAAAATTAAGAAGAAGAACCAATCAGAATAATATCATGATTAGCAATTTACCTCAAATGATAAATGATGATCAAAATTAGGTAAATTAGTTAAGAAAAAAGAATTAAGAATTAAGTAAATAAATTAAAGATAGAGATGTAAAAATCTTAAATATGGAATAAGAAATAGAAAATTTGAATAGATAGTTTGAGATTCGAAATGAAGAAGAAAATTAAAATTAAACAAAAAAAAATTAGGATTTAAATAATCTTATTAAAGAGCAAGGGTAAAAGCTCAGATTACTAGAAACTTAGATCAATGAATTAAGTCATTAAGCATTTGTTGAATAAAAAAAAAGAGAGGATAGAGATTTAGAGATTCGTAAATTAAAATAAAAAATGGAAGAACTTTAAAATAGTATACATTTAAAAGAAATAGAAATAAATAATGATAAAAAAATTATCTAATTCCTTTAAGAATAATCTAATAAATTTATGTCAGGAAATGAAAGATAATAAGAATATCCATCGCTCAATTAAGAATTTTAAAGACTGTAAGAAAATATGCAAAAAGAAATAGCTTATAAAAAACAAAAGGATGAGAAAAAAAAAGAAGATGAGTAACGTAGATTAATAGAATAGAATGCTTAAAGGAATTAGATTATAAAAGAAAGAGATTAATTAAATAAGCTAGAAAAGCAAAAAAAAGCTATGAAATTAAGAGAAGCTATAATGAACACATAAGGCATACTTTAAGTAGGACTTTTGGTTGATGTAACAGGATCAATGGATAAATATAAAGATGCAACTATGAATATTATTTAAAGAACTATGGCTTGTATTAAAAATTAAACAAATCGAGATTGTGAATGGGGATCTGTTTGTTATTAAGATTTTGCAGAATTAAAATAAAGGGGTTAATATCTGGAACACTAATTTACTAGAGATTCTAATATTATCATAAATTTTTTTAAAAATATTGTTTGTGATGGAGGTGATGATGGTGCTGAAGATCTCAGGAATGGAATTAAATAATTAATAAATAATTTAAAATGGGAAAAATTTTTTAAAATTGCTCTATTAATATGTGATGCTCCATCTCATGGTAAAAAATGGGCAGGGAATGTATTGGATGATTATCCAAATGAAGATTTGGAAGATGCATTATAACAATTAATTAATAAAAATATAGTTTTAATTGGAATTGAATTCACTTAAAGTACAGATGTTATGTTTGCATAAATGATAAACTTCTATGCAAAATAAAACAAATAATAATTGCTTATAATTGTAGATTTAAAAAACAAAAATCCTGATTAAATTTAAGATCAGTTAATTAACATTATATCAGAAGCATCTATTTCAATCACAGAAGTCAATTAATCAGGGACTAAATCGAAAAAATAAAACATTGTAAGAGATGGGGCGTTTGAGGCATTAGTAAAATTGTTACCTGATCCTACAAAATTCGATTTAGATCCTAAAATATCTACTATTTAAACCAAATTTAATGTATATAGGGTTGAAATTAACTAATCAGCATTTGAAAATAACATAACATCAATTTATAGAATTAGAATTCCAGATGATTATTAAATAACACTTGAAAGTGAATGGAATTGCACTAGAACATTAAAACCATTTGCTTTTGGACAACTCAAAGAGGTTTACTTGATGAAAAAATTAGATAATTCTGTTTAGAATGAAGTATATGTGATTAAAATGCCAATTGGGTATTATTATTTATCTCTATTTCTAGAGGTTAAACTTATAAAACAATGAATGAAGCATTGCTTGAATGTAGATCTCATTTGATTTCCAAAAGATTAATGCAAAAATTTATTTAGAGTTTAAATGATAAAGGTTTTAATGCCCCTTAAATTAAGTATTCAGATTTCTTAATACTCAAAGAACATGATAGTAAAAAATATATTAATTTATATAGCAAGCTACTGGATTGCTGAAAGATTTTTTTAAGGAGAATTTACAAAATTTAATAATAACTTTGGATACATTAACCCAAAAAAAGATTTAATAAATATTTTAGCCCAAGTTTTTACCTATTACACATTCCATATTAGTGATTTTTCATACATGATATGTGATGTATAAGGAGTAGGGTATAATTTTACAGATCCGGCAATCAATACAACTGAAGATAATTTTGATGAAACTGATTAGGGATAGGATGGAATTGGATAATTTATTATTTCATTTGAGAAGGATAAAAAAAATCTTTATTAAAAATATATAGATATTCTTGATTTAAAAGATTGATTTATTGATACAAATAAATTTTAATTAAATGTAATTTTTTTATTTTAAAAATGAAAAAGCATCAAATACATTTTTGATATCTTTTCTCTGTTTCCTAACTTAACAATTTACAAGGGAAGAATGAAATATTATTTATATTTTGAAAACATTTTAAATAAAAATATTATTTTAATCTTTAATAAGCAATTATTATTCATAATTTTATTGTCATTAAATATTCTTAGTATTTGTGTTATTATTTGAACATATTAATTAGTCTTCTTCTTCATTAATTTTACTAAAATTTTTATTAAACTCTTAAAGCTTATATTAATTGTTTGCTTCTTCTAAAAGAATACACTAAAAAAATTTGCAATGATAATATTTAAAGGATGAAAATATCATTTTTATTGAACATAATCTACCTAATATTTCATATTTGCTTAAAATTATTTTTATTTTAATAAAAAGAATGAATTTTGATAATCAACAACAAAATTTAAAATATAGTTTCTAGATAAACAACTATCATTACCTATTTCCTTAACATTTTAAGTCTAATTTTAATTATTTATAATCACATATAGAAGAAAAATAAAAAAAATATAATCATTTTCTCTCTCTTACAACAGGAGCATATCCAAAATATTAATTTTTGTGATTAAAACAAAATGTAGAAAAATGCACTTAACATTAAAAAAAAAGTAAAGTATGATGATGAAATATCGCAAATAACATTTATTATCTATAATTATTGTTTAAGTTAAATAAATGGGTATTTGGTTTTAGTTACTTTCATTATGATCATAAATAATGCATAGATGAACTGATAATACATAAAAATATTAGCTGGATATGCAAATTTTAATCGTTTATGCTATATGAAGGTTTCCCAAAAATAAATCTAAAAAAAATTTAAAGGATTTTCCTCCAGGATTGACGAAATAGCTTGAAGATAATTATTTTAAAAATTAAATAAATAAAATAAAATTTAATTCTGGTTTGGAATAAGTTTATTTTATGAGAGACTAAATTCAAACCTTAGATTAATGATTTTTAATTAAATTGATAATTTGAATATGATTTATTTTATGTTTATTAATTAAAAAGATGAACTAATCATTAATTAAGATTGAAATAAATTTAAGTAAAAAGTAATTAATTTTTACTTTGTAAATGGTAATAAATCACTTCTATTAATTTATCAATACTTTTAAATAGGCTTTTGCATTTTTAAGTCTTCTAATATTATCGACAGGTATCATTAAGAGTGTCATTCTTGTTTTCCAAATATCACGATTCAAATGACGATGGAATGGTATCCAATATAAGAGATAAATCAATAGTATAATTATCATAAAAGAAATAAATAAGCCTAACTTTTAGGATAAATAAGTATTCTATTTTACTTAAGAACCTTCAATAAAGCTGTCACCTAAATATCGAATGGCAGTTCTTAATAAATAAATTTTAATACTTAAAATAAATTCTTTACATTTATTTAACTTCGTACATTTTAGAGAGTTTCATTAAATTGATTCTTAAATTGTCAGCTTGATTTTAAAATATGATTTTTTCTTCAGAATCAATAAAATCAGATAATGGAGGAGTAGGTGTTTAAATGGTGAGAGTATAAATACTAGATAAATACCTTAAATTTTCAAAGAATCTTGTTAAAGCAACAGTAAATCCACTTTTAACACTGGTTTCAGCAAAGTCTTCACAATCAGTAATACTAATATTAGCAATTTCATTTAATCTTTGACATGGGTTAGAAAACATGATTGTATTATAAGCTTCAATATAAACTTATTCATGTTTATCAATATTGGATGAATGTTCTTTATGAATTGTCGAATCTAATTGATAGAGACGATATAAGTTTTCATATTGTATTTAAACAGCAGGTTAACTCTATACTTCTTGATAGGAATCAATTAAGACAGCTTATTAAACATTATTACAAAATGCATAGAAACCTTCAGCCATAATAGTAGAATTAGCTTCATAAATTAATTATCTAAAGTCACTTAAGTTTTATTTCTAAAGTACTAATTACATAATGAAATATGCTTCCATAAATCCAGCAATAAGAATAACTTAAATATAAAATCTAATAGGGGCTTTGGTTGTATTTTTGAATTTCTTTTTTTTCTTTTTTTTAGAATCAATAGCTGCTATATCATCCGAATCAATTTAATTTCCGAAATCTTCATCTTTTTCACTTCCTTCTCCATCAATAGAATTGACATATTTTACAAAGGCTTCACATTTGGTAAAAAGAGCTTTAACAACTTAAGATGGTAATTCTAAGAACATTATTATAACTTATTCTTTAGCTAATCTAGTAGACAAAAGTATGACAACAACAATAGCCAAAGAAAGAGCTAATATAACACCAGCTACAACAACAATTATTACAAAATTTGTAGATTTATCTGCTGTTTTAGAAATGAAATCATCTATTGTGTATTATAAAACACTCAATTAAGCATCTAAATAAGAATTAAATCCATTCTAAATAGTAAAATAGATTGCAACATCATCAGAATTTAATGAAATCTATTATAAAGGATAATTCATTATAGTTAAAGCATAACTTAATAATTAATTTGATGCTTCTTGAAAATCATATGGTTGACTTTTTGTCTTATTAAATTTCATATCTATATTAGGTTCATTATATAAAGTTTTTAAATCAGATGGAAATTGATATCCACTTAAAATAATATAGTTTAATCCTTCTTAAATATAATCAATACTAGCTTTCATTTCACTTTTCAATAATGTTTCATTTGAACTTATTTCAACTGTATTATTTCCATATAATCTTTAATTAAGTAATTATAAATCTCTAATATTTTCTAAAAGGTAATTCCATTCAGCAACTAGATTTGTTTGAGTATTATATACTTCAAGTGTTAGTTATATATCTTATAGTTGATTGATCTAAATAATATTTATTAATATTTACATCTAAAAAATAATCAATGAATGCCAAGACAAGCATAGATAAAGTTAAGAAGGTTTCAGCTATTCTTATAAATTTGATAGGAAATGGAGTTTCATTTTAATTTATTGCTTATTCTAATTTTGTTCTACTTTGAAAAGCATCCTATTCTGATTATTATTCTTCTGAATCATCATATAATAAATTTTAATTTACGCCTTAGTATTAATTGCCTTCATATTCTTATTCTTCTTCTTCCATCACTTAATCATCATCATTAACTATTTCACCTACTTTATTTTAAAATAATCTAACTGTCCTTATACCCTCATCATATCTAATTTTATTGCTTGCAACTTAAATGTCCTTAAATTTTGGAGATCCTTCTTGAGAGTCTGTTTTTTCTTATTTATTAGATATAGTTATATCTAATTTTTAAGGAGTTTAAAAACTTTCATCTATTTTTGATTGATCTATCCTTGAACCTAAATCAGAATAACTTGGCAAATCTTTATAGAATCCATCTATATACATAGTATTTTCTTCATCAAATTTACATTAGAATATAAATTTGTTTTAATTCATTTTTAACTTCTTATCCATTAATTAGTTACCTGATTTTTTAGAGATTACAGAACTATTAAGTTACGAAGCTGCTAAATCAGCCACTTTTTCAAATTTAAAACAATACCCAGCTGGAAAATTAGCATAAGTAAATGAAATCTCTTAACAATAACATTATAATTATATTGGTTTTTCGTCAATTCCTTTATATATGAAATCTTTTTCCTCCTTTTTTCTAACACTTTCAATTGTTTTTAAAATTTCTTTTGGAATTGTATAAGTAACTAAATTTCCTTATTTATTTAAATATTGATCCTTGTCAAGTATTTATGGAAATAGATCAAAGAAATTTTTCTTGGCTTTTATGTATCTTATATCTAATTTTAATAAACTTAAACAACCAGTACTGATTCCTTCGATTTGATTTTTTGGATTGACTAAGATAAAAGCATTTTATCTATTGAATTTATCTTAGGTAAAAGTTCCAAGAAAAGAAATTCCATTTTTAACAGAGTTGATAGGTTTAATATTTAAATTCATTTAAAATAAATAACCAGATTTATTTTTACAGATGACTTATCTATCTTTACTAACATATTTATAATCAGAATTGTTGATAAAATCCTCAACAAATCTATCATGTGATTTGCCAATCATATCAGGCATTAAAATTTAAATATTTTAATTCATCAATTCACTTTTTGTATAATGAAATAATGCAGCTCCACTGGAATTGATTTATTAGATTAATCCAAATTTTTCATTATCACTAGATAATACAATAGTTGGTGTTGGATCATTGCTAAAATCATGATTATCAATATCATCAATCTTACTATTGTTATATCCTTATATCATTTTACGTAAAGTATCATTTAAACTAACCCCATATTCTTTATCATTTAGAATTTCAATTAGAAAGACAGAATATAACATAATACTAGGTTGATGATTAGGACATACTCTTTTGAGTTTTTACCATAATTCTTAAACTTATCTAATGCTATCTGTAACTTTTTTGCCACTTATTTCTAATTTAGCAACATCTGGAGTTTCTTCATTTAATTCTGACCAATATTCCATATGAAGATAAGCACATTTTTCAATTTACATAGCTAAACCACTAATAATAGGTGGAGCAGCTGATATAGGTAATATTTCATGATTTGAAATAGTTTTTTCATTTTAATCATCTTAGATTTCACTTTCAACAATTCTTTTATACTTATATAAAACAAATTAAGTATCTAAACTAGGTTCGCATTCTTCAGCCTTTTATAATTCTTATAAAGCTTTATGTTTATAGGACATAACTTCTAATAAGAAGAAAGCATATTAAATTCTTAAATCTACATTCTTTTCAAACTTTTCTAATCCTTAATCCAAGATTCTATAGAGAGTAAGAATTAACAAAGCTTGTTTATCATTTTTAACTTCGGCATTGTTTTATTTAATTTATTAAATTAATCTCTTATTCCATCCAGGTTTATACTTTTTTAATGGACAATCTGATTTTTCACAGGTTTATCTATGTACTTCAATATATCCATCTAAAATGACTGCATATTTTGTTTCACTTTACAATCTCAACAATGTCAATATATATCTAACTTAAGATATAATTTCTTCAGCACTATTCAATTTATTAACATTTGCCACTAAACTTTCTAATTGCCTGTCCCTTTAAGTTAAAACAATACTAATCACAAATGGAAGACCCACTAACCATGCAACTATAGAACCTCCTATCAAATTACCTTCCATTGCTGTTGCTATTGCTAACATGAATGCACTCCACATCAATAATGAAGAAAGAGTAGAATGATATCTTGTAAATAAAAAACTATGATATTAAGTTCCAAGTGAAAATGCAAGAAATATTATTAAACTACCTCCTAATGTTATCACTAATAAAATATAAGTAAAGTTTCGATTATGCATTATTGAAAATGCTATCTCTGATATAATAACGTAACTCTACATTATTGCATCTGCTCTACCATTTATCTTTGCTGTTTAATCATTTGCTCTGAATCTACATTCAAAATATGTGAAAATTATCGTCATTGATATACTTGTATATAATACCAAATTTAGAAATGCTGCTATGCAATATCCTATATGAATTGCAGTAAAACATTATAAATCATAAAATTTACTTATCCCATCTACATCATCTATACACTTCCATGCAGATGTATTGTAATTTATTATTGGCATAAAAAATACTGTTATTACTAGTAATAACATTACTCTCAATATTGATGATGCTGTACGATTTATGTATGAACTTGTATAATATTAATACCCAAAATATATTATTATGCATATTAATGAAATGAACAATCCTGTTTGAATCAATAAAAATATTACATAACTCTACAAACTAGTAAAGTATACTTTCAAAAGCAAATGCTCTAAAAATACGTTTAAACCATTAGAAATCCCGTCATTTTACCAAACATACCCTATTTCTTCTCTAAACATATAACTATGTAATTATATGTATTAAATCAAATTCAAAATCGCTAAAAATAATGCATTGATTTTTGACTCCTTTTATAAAATATACAAGAATCCAAATATAAAGTTCTTAACAAAATTACTCACTGTTTACAGTAATGAATTATCGTCGTAATTCTTTAAATTATTCATTAAAATAATTTATTATTAATTTTATATTTTATTCACATACTTCTCTCCTCAATTAAACACTCAATTCTATATCCTAAATAAGTTAGTTTCCTATTTCTGGTACACTCATCTCTTTCCATTTAGATAACAATTTTATCCAAAACTTTTATTAAAAAATAATCAATTTTCATCTTGTTTAAAGCTAAAACAGATAATAATTAAATATTTATTAAAGAACTTCTTTACTAATATTTATTATATTTATTCCTAACCATAATAGACTTATAAAATTTAATTTACCTTTGACATTTGATAATCATATAAAAATAATCCTGAAAATTTCATAAATTTGATGATAAATTTAACTTAATTATCATCATATCAAACATAGCATTATTGTATATTAGATATTTAAAATTTTTAAATGAATATAGTTATATTTAAATTTAATAGATGTCGACAATTCAAGAGCTCATTACTACATTATTTAATTTAGTATTAATCCAATAATACTTTTTGAGATTGTTAGTGATGATGACACCTGTACAAAAAATAGATACCTATAATCAAGTAGTTTAATTGAACAATTGAAAATAATAATTGAAATAGTAACTTAATTTTAACATAAAAAAACATTTGAAGCTTATAAAGCTCTTGAAAAAGAACTTCAAAAATATGAATCTGAAGTAAGGAATCATATTAGAGTATTTAAATTGTTTTATACTAAAGGATGAGTATCTAATGCAGTAGAATTAAGATGATTTAATATCAAGACTAGAAGAAATAGAAAGAGAAAAAAATGAACTTTTCAGCAACACTAAATTAACTATTATTGTAAATTATTTATAATCATATTGAGAAATTAAAAAGAGAAAATGAAGAATTGTATTAAAAAGTTAAATAATTAACATTTGAAATATAGTAACATAAAAATCTCACTGAAAAACTTTTAACTCATTCTGAAAAATGTAAAGCTAACGATTATCTGACACATGACTCTACAAAAATTAGTTAGACTAAATATTCAACAATAGATAACCATAATTAAAAGATAATCAAATTAAAAACACATACTACTCCTAAAAAATTGCATACTGAAACATCTGTCGATATTTCTGTTATTGCAGCTATAAATTAAAAAAGATTAAGTTAATAAATGATTAAACAAAATTATTTTTAAAAAAAGGGATCAATAACATAACATTAACACATTAAAAAAAATAGACGATCATGTTCGTTTGTAAATTAATAATTGTAAATATTATTATATTATAATTAAAGGAATTTTTTGACAACAAGCATGTGAATTAATTTAATTTCATTCCTTTTTAACTATTTCATCTCAAAATTAATATATTTTTCTATTCATCTCTATTTAATCTTAAAAATTCTAACAATTATGAGAATTTATATCTTAAAAATTTTAGAAAATAGGATTAAAACAATAAAAGCAAATTTTAAATCTTATTCCTAATCCCATTTCAAAGTGATCTAATTAAAGTGTACATGTCTCATGAGAGGCAAGAGATTTACAATTCAAACAACATTAAATATTACATTTTGAACAATAAAATATTGGCTATCCAAAATAAATAAATTCTATATCGCAAGTTGGATTAGGACAACATGACTTAAATGATTTAGAGATTTTTTAAAAAATTTATTCTTTTAGATTTGAATTGAGTTAGCATTTACAAGTAGGACAATTAGTCAAACCTTGTTAATCAATTTTAAAATAAAGACATAAATTGTGAAATTAATGTCCACATTATTAGATTTAGCATTTTTCTTCATCTAAATCATTTATGTAAAAATCACAAATGCTACAAATTTTCTAATTAATAATTCTATTCTTCTTTTTCTAATAACAAACCATTTAGACTAAGTCTTCTTATTTTTTGTTCTATTAATTCTCAATATTTTTTCTTAAATCTTCTTATTTCTATGTAAAGATATTATAATTCTAAAAATTTTATGTTAATTTTTTTACATCATCAATTAGAAATTTATTAAAGAGTTCTAATTTTTGAAAGGGAGATTGTTATGATTCCTCTAATTATTTATTTACATCATATAAATAATTGACCGCCTTTTTAATATCTTATTCTGTAATTAGAATTCTAATTATTTAAAACATAATACTTTCTACCCCATGCAACCCCTAGAACAAATGAATCAATCATTAATTCTTTGCCCCTGTTTCCTGATTCAACTATTGTTTCAATTATATTAACGATTAAGTCATCCATGGAAATAATAAATTTATTAATTTCTAAACTAAACTAAAAATGATTTTAAATATGTAATTTTTATAATTAATAATAATAAATATGGATATAAATTTATTAATATCGAATGATTCAAAGATTAAATTCATATTTTGTTAATTATTCTTCATATTATTGAACCCAAGGATGATTAATAGCTTGTTTAGCTGTCATTCTACTTTTGGAATCAGATGTAACTAATTTACTAATGAAATCTTTTAATTCACAAGAAAAAGAATCAGGTATTTTAATAATTCCATCTTGTATCATTTATTGCATTTCATCTTATCTGAGATCTTCCCAAGGTGTCTCACCGCAGCATAATTCATAAGCTAATACTCCAAGAGACCACATATCAGTACTTTTATCATAATTCTCTCCTCTTATTATCTCTGGAGATAAATATGCCAAAGATCCACATTAAGTTTGTCTCTGATCTTCAGGAGAATATACTGAATATGTGAAATCAGCAATTTTTATTTGATTCTAAAATAAACTATTATTTATTTACATAACATAAAAATATATTCTCTGGCTTTAGGTCTCGATGAATAATACCATTTCTGTGTAAATAAATCAAAGCACTTAAAATCTATCGAATATATGAAGACGCCAACTTTTCTGGAAAACTGCATTCTGGTAAACCTTTAAGAATTTTATGGATTTAGCCATTTGGACAATATTCCAATACTAAAACAATTTCATCAGCTAATTATTATTACATTACAATACTGTTTTAAAAAAATGTGTATAGTTTAACTATGTTTGGATGGTTAAGAAGATATTATATTTTTATTTCTTGAGCTATGGATTGTGACATTTATTAAATTTAAGCCTTTTTCATGATTTTTAAGGCCACATGATAATTAGTGTTTTCATCTATAGCCAAATGAACATTACTATATCTTCCCTTACCTAAAAATTGTAACATTTTAAAATTCTTATATCTGGGCTAGGTTATATGTGGTAAGGTTTAGTTGAACATTCTTCTATTTTAAGATCCAAGAGTGGGAGAATTAGCTGTTTCTAACTTTTAGAGTCTATCTTCTAGGACTCTTTATTTTTAACCGGAATTTAATTAGGATCTTGCCTTTTGTTATTTATTTTTATTTTCCTTGTTCTTTTTTGTGGGCTATAATCTAAGTGTTTAAACTAATTTATGAATGAGATCTTTCTAATTGATTTAACTATTTTCTGTGTAAGTAAGAGGAGATTGCATTCTCAATTGTTGAGATGTTGTGATATTCAAAAAACTACGGTGTCTACTTGATGCTGATCGATGTTATTAAATTAAAGAATTCATAAAATATTATCGTTACAAACTCAAATAAATGTCTAATAAATTTTTTGATAGTAAATTAGATTGTTAATCACTTTGAATAATAGAAGAATAAAACAAATGAAATTCAATGATATAAAGCACTTTAAGATTATCATCATAGTTAAAGAATAAAAAATAAAAAATTAGAATGTTTTTAAATTATAATAAGCTAGATTGAAATATAAATAAAATTATATTAAAATGGCTAACGTTGCTTTCTTGGATCCTTTAAAGAATGAACCAAATCTTTAAACTGCATAAGATGTTGATGATTATATAAATACATTAACTTAACATTAAAATGCATGTGAAAAGTAATAAAAATACATGGAGGCTGAAGATGCAAGGAAAAGAATAATTGAACTGAGAAAGCAACTTATTACAAAAAAAAAGAAAGAATTAATAGTTAATTGGTAAAACTAGAAAGAATAAGCTGACAGAGCATATATGGAAGAATATAATTAATTCAATTAGTTTTGGGATAACAAGATGTTAAATTTCAATGAAGAAGCAAAGTAAGTAGAATAGGAATTACAAAATCGATAGTAGAATGAATTGAAGTAATTATAAGAAGAGCTAGAGAGAACTACTCCTTAAAAACCTAAGGAATCTTCGGAAGTGTTGAATCTAAAGAAAATAGAGGAACACTTGGCAAAACAAAAGAAGTACAATTTAATATAATATAAGTTATGTGGAAGCACATGCTATATAGAATAAACGTGCTTAGATAGAAGAGGAAGAGCAAAAAATATATACAATAGCAAGAACTCAGAAAATCAAATCATAATTACAACAATTAGAATAGAGACACTTAAATGAATTGAGTGCTTTACAGTAAAGAATTAAGGCAGGATAGGATGAGTTAAGAAAAAATAGAAGCATTGATTTGGAAAGGTAATATATATTCATTTATATACAGATTGATGCAAAAGTATTAAAATACAAAGAAAGATTTAGAGTAAAAAGAATAAATGGACATATTAGCTTTTGATGGATAATTTAAAACAAAAGGGTGTAGTAGTTAGAGTACTTATAAAAGTGTGATGATGATGGCTAAAAAATGATGATTGTGCATTTGCCATAATTTTTAATACTATTATTCATTTAGTAATTTGATAGGATCTATTTTCTTATAACAAAGCTGTTACCTTCTAAAAAAGATTTCATTCATTAACATATAACTGTTATCTTATCTTATTACTCATCATTATTCCTATCCATACTTAATCCACATCATTTGATTCTTTTTACATTAAATTCTCTAGTTAAATCCAATTCTTTAATCTATAATCATTTGGTCTCTAATTTGTTTCATCAGAGTAGATACCAATAGCAATATTTAATTGTGGAAATATCATATTTTACACATTTTGCATTTTCATTCCTACAATCTTCCATACTACTCTGAAATATCAACCTCCATTTTTTATTTAATTTAGAAATTTTCCCCATTTTATTATTATTAAGTAGCGCAAATCAATTAGCCTCCAAAAATATAAATATTCATCCTGTATCAACTAATCTATTCATATTCAAAGCTTGAATTAATTCTTTAGCTATATGCATTCTTCCATTTTGTTCTAATCCATCACAACATATTGGAATTTATTTTGGTATTCAAAACAGTTATTGTTCTTTTCATTTTTCTCTTTCTATTTCTATTTCTATGGTTCTACTTTTCAAATCAAACCTTCTGTTAGAGAATCTACTGAAGCAAATATTTTTTATAATTAAATTACTAAATTTAATCATTTAAGTATAGTTTATGAAAGAATTTGTTTCACTTTCTAAAATATTTTTAATTACAAAAAATCCTTAACATTTCCCCTTAAATTGCAATCATTCTATTTTAATATATGAACCATATTTCGAATCTCATTACTTTTGCATTTCAATTCTTCTATTATTACACCTAAACTATAGCAATCAGCTTTATTATCGTACTCCAATCCTTTACATACTTCTGGTGCCATATAATAAGGAGTTCCACATATAGATTTCAATTTTTGTTTTCCTTTCAATTCAACGGCTAAACCGAAATCTCCAATTTTTATGTGATTCTAAATCATCATAATATTTTCAGGTTTCACATCTCTATGAACTATACGTCTATCATGTAAATACGAAAATGCTTGCAATATTTCATATATCATTTATTATTTCTATACTTCATTTATTTAATCTAATTTATCATATAGTTTGTATAGCGAAGATTCACAACATTCCAAAATTATTACCACTTCTTTATCATCACTCATCACACCATAAAATTTCATTATATTAGAATGATTCAATTAAGATAATATTTTTATTTCTTATGTTAACAATTTCGAGAGATTGAATTAATTAATGATTGACTTCTTTATTATTTTGATTGCGAATATACAATTAGTTATCTTGTCACTATAAAATAGTTTATTATTTTATACACAGCCATATAAACATCGCTATATTTGCCTTTTCCCAAAAATTTGATTTTTTTAAATCTGTCAGATATTTAAAAATACTCTTTGCGAGGAGTTTGAGGCAAAGGCATGGATATGTTTTATTTGGTTTTTATGTTAAAAATTTAAGGTTAACGATTTTCATAGGTTGCCATTTTAAAATAAGTGTAATTTGTTAACATTTAATAAAAATTTGATTATTTTTTAAAAACTCCATAAAAATATATTTTTAATTATTAGATAATATTATTATTTAAATTGATTTATGCATCTAAAAAATCAAGCACAACCTGGGCACACTTTAAATTTAGAATGAATTAAAATATCACAATCTCTAAAAATAATATAAGAAAATTACAAACAGAAAAATTTTTTGCATCTCTTACAATTAGAATGGATAACAGTAGTTTATTCTTAACAACCAAAACAAATATGTTCTAAACCATCATTTTACATTTCAAAAACTCCTAAAGTTTCATAACCATCACTTCTGAGAATCTAATGAGGGAGTACAATCCAAGTTGAACAAATTGGACATAGAAGTGGTGGAGAACAAACTTTACTATAACAAACAGGACATTTATAAAAATTATATCTATTTGAAATTTCAAATTGTATTACACTATTTCTAAATGACATTGACATAATGTTGGTTGATTCACTATTAATTTTTATGGGAATCCTATTTTTACTAATTAAGTAATCATTTTATGATTCTTCAATTCTTATGGTGAAACAAATTTCTTATTTATAAATTAATCAATTTATTTACCAAAATTTCTTAGCTAAATTGATATTCATTTAAAGGACATAAATATTATCCATCAGTTGTTTATGTTATTTTTATTAATTAATGTATTGCCCCTGCAAAAGATATAACATTAATTTGAATAGCTGCTTATTCACACTTATCAGTCCATTCAAATAAATCAAGTTTATCATCTGAATATGTTGATGTAGTCACAAATAATATACTTGATTAGGCATGTAATTATGTAGCTGAAAATACATGTAAAGCAGTCTAAATTTGATTGTTTCTTCTATACTTATAAACATGCTGCCATTGAAAAACCGGCTTCATTTATTGAATGAATTGTTGACAAATATTATTTTATNCAATTTCGAGAGATTGAATTAATTAATGATTGACTTCTTTATTATTTTGATTGCGAATATACAATTAGTTATCTTGTCACTATAAAATAGTTTATTATTTTATACACAGCCATATAAACATCGCTATATTTGCCTTTTCCCAAAAATTTGATTTTTTTAAATCTGTCAGATATTTAAAAATACTCTTTGCGAGGAGTTTGAGGCAAAGGCATGGATATGTTTTATTTGGTTTTTATGTTAAAAATTTAAGGTTAACGATTTTCATAGGTTGCCATTTTAAAATAAGTGTAATTTGTTAACATTTAATAAAAATTTGATTATTTTTTAAAAACTCCATAAAAATATATTTTTAATTATTAGATAATATTATTATTTAAATTGATTTATGCATCTAAAAAATCAAGCACAACCTGGGCACACTTTAAATTTAGAATGAATTAAAATATCACAATCTCTAAAAATAATATAAGAAAATTACAAACAGAAAAATTTTTTGCATCTCTTACAATTAGAATGGATAACAGTAGTTTATTCTTAACAACCAAAACAAATATGTTCTAAACCATCATTTTACATTTCAAAAACTCCTAAAGTTTCATAACCATCACTTCTGAGAATCTAATGAGGGAGTACAATCCAAGTTGAACAAATTGGACATAGAAGTGGTGGAGAACAAACTTTACTATAACAAACAGGACATTTATAAAAATTATATCTATTTGAAATTTCAAATTGTATTACACTATTTCTAAATGACATTGACATAATGTTGGTTGATTCACTATTAATTTTTATGGGAATCCTATTTTTACTAATTAAGTAATCATTTTATGATTCTTCAATTCTTATGGTGAAACAAATTTCTTATTTATAAATTAATCAATTTATTTACCAAAATTTCTTAGCTAAATTGATATTCATTTAAAGGACATAAATATTATCCATCAGTTGTTTATGTTATTTTTATTAATTAATGTATTGCCCCTGCAAAAGATATAACATTAATTTGAATAGCTGCTTATTCACACTTATCAGTCCATTCAAATAAATCAAGTTTATCATCTGAATATGTTGATGTAGTCACAAATAATATACTTGATTAGGCATGTAATTATGTAGCTGAAAATACATGTAAAGCAGTCTAAATTTGATTGTTTCTTCTATACTTATAAACATGCTGCCATTGAAAAACCGGCTTCATTTATTGAATGAATTGTTGACAAATATTATTTTATGTTTTAACAAGATGAAGTAAAATCCAAAATGGTTGTACATTTATATTCTTCTGCTACTGCAATGCCTATTTAAGACAAAGGATTGCATTCTAAAAATTATTCAATAAATGCCTATATATATATTATTATGTATTACAGGTAAATGTAATAAAGCAACTGACAAACGACTTGGCTTAAAATCATTTATTTTAGATGATTTGGTAGTGTCTATAATAATTAAGAGATTTCTCATTAGAAGTGGGTTTTGTGTAATCAAAAATTAAGCATCTTATTCTTTTTTCTTATGTAGTTTATCTTAATGATAGTTATTACCCTAAGCAGGATGATTTCTAATTTTCTCTTCATATTCATTAAATTTGGTATTGCCTTCTAATTCCATTTATAAAAAAAGAATTTTATTTTTACCTTCATATATTTATTAAAAATAGATATGAAAATCTCAATACAGGTCTCGTAGCTCAGTTGGTTAGAGCGTCAGTCTAATAAGCTGACGGTCGAGGGTTCGATCCCCTCCGAGACCATTTTTTTATAATTTAAATAAATTTATATCTCATTTGTTTATTTATAAAGTTTTTTTCACATTCGTAGTTTATGAGAGAGTTCTTCTTATTCTATTTTTTGCTGCTATATCTCCATATTCTTCTTTTCGATTCAAAAATTTATTTAGTAATTCATTTTTTAAAGGCATTCTTAAATTCATTTATTACTATGATTTTTTAAGAGCTTCTTCCTCTTTCAATTTCTAAAGACTTTATTAAAATGAACTTTATCTATTTACAATAGAACGAACAGGACTATTAATAATCTATGATCTAATTTATTCATTTTATAAATGAATAGATTTTTAATTATTTCTTTAACTCATTCTCAAACGACTCTATTTTATTGTTTGTTTAGTTTAAGAAACATTTATTATACTATGATGATTATTAATCTAAGAATCATTTTATTCTTCTGAATTATTTGATTAAGAATAGTGTATAGAATTAATTGAATGAGTTGATCGTATTTTATTTTTTTAAACAATCGTTTGCTTTTAATGTTCATCCAAATCTTCATTACTTTTCTTAAAATTATAATGTCTAGACAGAGTTTTTTTAGCAATAATTTCTCCAGTCAAAGATACTTTATTATTGAAAAATTTATCATTCCTTGATATTTAAGTTTTACATTTATTTGGTAAATTATCCTCTATAGTAGGTAATACTTATGCTTTGAAATAATCATAATCAAATATAAGTAATTGACCTTCTTCACTAATACAGAAAGCAGTACCATTACTTAATGATGTTTTATTGTTTAATTCATTTTCACCTATAAGTTATCCTTATGTAAATATATGAACTGCTTTTGCAACTCCCTTTTCCAATTCTCTTAATTCAAAAATTCCTTTAATAACCAAATATATTTATTTAATCATTTGTTCCTATAAATAAACAATATCTAAGCATTAAAATGTTTATGACATAGAATTGGCATAGAACTTACGAACTTAGGCATAAGGAACATTCTTAAAGATAGGAAAGGCATACAATTATGAGATTTCTTTAGTAATTCGACTGACTTCAAATGTCATTAGATTCACTCTGAAATCATGTTTAGAAATTGCTGCAACTTTACAGGCTGTTTTTGATGTAACATTCCAATCTGATCTAAAATCATGAATGTATACATGTCAGAATAGCATTCACTTCCAAAAATAAGAAGATTCGATCCAAAATGTTTAAGATGTATCATTTCTTGATTTCCTTTATTCAAAACCACATCTCCAGATAAAATGATTATCAGTTTATTTTAATCCAATTAATTTTTTGAGAATATCACCTAATTTTTTTGGAACTATTCAAATCTCATAAGCTATCAGATTATGATTAGATATACTTAACAACATTCTATAAGAAACTCATTATCACTAGTTCTAAAAAATTCATGTCCTCTCAACAATTGACCTAATTTCTCATTTTCTTATTCAAGTCGTATGGTTGGGTCTTTCAATAATAATTACATGCATTATTGAGTAGTTTATTAATTTCTTGTATACAATAAATCTGGTCGTTAGAGTTTCTCAAAATGAATATCTGTAATTGTAGATTAATTGTTTTTTTTCATTAATTATTAAATTTAAGGTTATCATTTAGTTTTATGTAATTTTAATAGAAGTAAATCTTGGATATCCTTTTTAAATAGATTGATAAAATATCTAGATTTAGAATATATAGTTAAAACATATGAATTATAATATTTTTGATTGTTTAGTCATTAAAATTAATAAAATAATGGAAATAATAAAAAGGAGTATGAAATGATTCATCATCTAAAGATAAAAATGAAAAAAATAAGACAATAAATAATACTAATAAGATTGATATTAGTTTTTTAGTGTTTTTAAAAGAAATACATAAAAATAAATTAAATGAATAAAAACTAATTGAGTATATAGTTTATTCTACTTTTTAAAGAATTGTGATTAATATGATAATAATAATCAATAATGGTAATATCTGGATGGATATCTGGAATATCTGCTATAAGCTAATGAATTAGACAGAGGTGAACGCACTACACTAGATCTTTCTACAGGAACATAGTCTACAGCTTCATCATATCTTTCAATAGGAACATATTCAACTCTTCTTTCAAGTCTTGGAACTGGAACATAATCTCTATAATGTTCGACTTAATTATGTCAACATCATCTTACTTTCCACATAATCTGTATATCTTCTTTCGACTGGTTTGTATTCAATTCTTTATTCTGGAACATACTCTGTATATCTTTACTCAACAGGGATTCTTTCTACCCAAGAATTACCTAATTTATTTATAAATAACTATACCTCTTTGTGGAGTTGAGGTGTAATATGGGGAAACATATGAATGGGTTGGGGAATACTAGTAGGGCCTTGAATATGATCTATATGGTGAATAGAGGTAACTCATTTAAAACAAAATAAAATTTTATTGAAAGTTAATTCAATGTCCATTAAAGACATTTAAAAACTATAATCTCTATTTCAAATTAATAACGCCGTTGTTTAAGAGTATTTAGGAATTAGGTTCATAAATTAAACTCTTATTGATTAGGTATTGCCCACATGATTACTTATGTAGTTAGTTAATTGTGATAGTGCTAATGAGATTTACAAAATCAAAAAAACTGATGCCTGTAAAGATTGGGATAAATTGAAACATATCTTGTTAATCTACTTTATAGCATCACAAATGACTTTTGGAAAACCTATTCACAAATACATTTAATAGGCATATGAAGACTATCTAATTTAATATCATATTTTCTATGAAGGATTAATCGAATTTCAAACTTGTACCATTTTCAATCAATATCTAATTATTAAACATAAATTACTCAAAGAAGATTAGAATCTCAAAGCAGAATTTCGTAAATTACTCAATATGCTTATTTGGAAGACCAATTAATTACATTTTCTAATTCGAATTATAATCGGTTATATTACCTATGTTAAAATAAGCAAACAAATTGGTAATGTAGAAAAAGTTTTTGAATAAATTTCTAAGTTAATTGAGAAATCTCTCAAAAATGGTGCTAATTATCATCATTTTTAATTCAAAATGGATATTGAATTATTTACATCTTATTGGTATAAAATAATCAAAGTTAGCAATAATGAAACTAATACTCTTAATCTAATTCAATTGCTATAGTAATCTCAATTCTACTTCAATGATTATAATTTCTAAACTGATATCATAACAACCCTTCAATCTATTTAGAAATAGAAACTTTCCATCAATTCTAAATTAAATCAAGATACTTAATCAAAAAACAAAAACAGAAAACCCATAATCTAAATTAATAATTTGATATCTGAAGAGTTTCCTAAAAACTCATCTAAATCCAATAATCAATTTTTGGATCTAGGTAAAATTGTTAAGACAGAACAAACTCAAACATCAGTTACAAGCAAAAGAATATTTAAACCATCTGCTTCTAAACTTCTTAATTCATAATATAATCATATTGAAGAAGATCCAATATTTTAAATTCAAATTGAAAATTATCATATTAATAAAATTGTAAGAAAAGGCTGTTTTAAAATATAAAAACCGGTTACCTTATCAACATGCACCTGTATACTTTATTTAATATTATAGAGAGATACAAAACATAACCTTCTGCTTAAGAAGAATTGCCTTTACTTACATTCTAAGATTTTGAATAAGATCATCAAGATTCCATTCTTGAATTACCATCACCTGTTAAACCAGCAACTGAATCAGATCAAAAGATTTCTGGTAAGGATCACAGTATTAGTCATTCTTAATCATCTTAAGGAAAAATAGATAAATTAAATAGTCTAAGCAATCCTTATAAATTAAAAAATTTAATTAGTTCAAGATTTCAATAGATTTTAGATATAGCTTAACTTAGCGCTTGTTCTACTCCAAAAAACGCAGACATAGTAAAATCTATTAGAAGATAAAAAACTATATCCATAAAAAAAGAACACAAAGAACTTTAAATATAATCGTAACAACCATCAATTCCACTTCTATAATCAATACCTGTCTTAAAAGAATCAGATTAATAAACTTCAGAGAGAAGAAGAAGTGGAATGGTTGTAAATTCACCTGAAGCAGTTTCACAAATAACTTAGGCTATTTAAAAATCTAGTTAAGTAGAGATTGTTCCCACTAAATCATAAAATATAAATACTTTACCTTAACCAATCTAATAATAGTTATAAATAAATCAAAAACAAACTCTGCAACTTAATACTAAACGACCATAAAGAAGGAATGTTTTAACATTAAGAACTGCTACAACCTTTTTTATGGAATAATCAAATGCTTACATACCAAAATTCTAATTCTCTTTATGTTATCATAGCAGAACTATTTTATGGTAATGTGGCTTATAAATGACATCATAAGAAAATATTCAAATTGGATTTTAAGATACAACAAATAGTAAAATTGTGTACAGGGCTAAACTTTAAAATTTAGTTTTTGAAAATACTAAAAATTGGGCTTAAATCATTGAAGTCTTCATAAATGAATATCAATTATAAACATCTCAATGTTTACCCTATTTACACTATAATTCAATAATGAGTAATAAGAAAACTGATAACTATAATTTTATCAAAATGGCAAACTATTAATTTGAGCTGACAAAAAATGAGTTAGAATAAATGGGAATATTAAAAGACTTGTTTAGATGGATGTATACAACTTATTTATATGAATAAATTAATATTAATGGCATTAGATTGATATTATATACATTAGAAAAAGATAAGACTTTGAATGCTTATAGAGAATTAATTAATGTTGTTAATCTCTACAGAAGAATGATAATCTAATCCACTCTCTGTGATGAGAAAGAGAAATTTCATTTATTGATTTGCAGCTATGGAGGTATTTTTTTATCATTTATAATCATAGAATGTATCAAAAATAATATTACTTTATTGAATAGAATATTGAATTTTAAAGTGAATAAATAAAAAGATTAATAATACATGATTCACAAATAATTAGTAAACCTAAGAAATTTAAGTATAACAAATGATGAAGAATATATTTTCTTTATAATTAAAGTCAGTATCATATTTTAGAAAGAAAAGTATAAGTAAATTTATTATAAATTAGTATTTTGTATTATAAAAAAAATGATTACCATACAAAATATTAAGTGGATGTATTATTTGAAGCTATTGATAGTCCAGTAAAAATAAAACCTCTTAGATTGTAATTTGATGCTATTGAAAAAATCTTAGAAAAAAGATATCATAACAATTTAAAATAGATAATAAACTAAATATTTTTTTCTTAAAGAAAATACTTGCATATGTTTTATGAATTTATTAATCAAAAGTTAATGATAAATGAATAAAAGTAGCTTTAAGTTAGAATGAATATATTTTCTTTACATGATGCTTAAAAAATGGAAGCATGTGGAATGAAATTAGGATTTCTAATAGATTTGTAAACTAAAGTCAAACCATTTGCAATAACTGAAATAGAAAGATACATATATGATGATACCTAAAAAAAATTGGATTATAAATCTAAATCTTAAACTATTCATAATAGAGAGCATATGTTCGATAAACATTTTGCTTAAATATTTGGAGAAGATATTACCAATAATGAGTAATAACATTTTCACCAAACAACTTTAATTGATTTAGTAAAACGTTACTAACCAAATATTAATGCAGAAGTAAAATAAGAAATAATTACAAAAAAAGTTGGGCCAATAATTATTTATTAAGAAAATCCCTTTGCTGATGTACACAATGATGATTTTGAAAAATTGGAGTCTTAATTTTTTAGTAGGTAAAACCTATAACTTAATAAAATTTAAAAGTATAGAATCAAATTAAAACATCTTTCAATTTAAATTTCTATTCTTCAAAAATAAATAATATTGATTTATCATCATAATTAAAGACTTCAAAGATTTTAAATCACTCCTACAGATGAAGAAGATAATATAATTTCAAATATACTATAATTAATTAAAAATGGTCCTAATTGTTGGATAATTTAAATGCTCTATAAGAAAATTAGTTAGAGAGTTTTAAAATAATCATTTATTAGTTCTTAACTGTATGATGGGTTAGAACTATTAAAATATAAGAAATCAAAAAGCCAATTAGCAGAGATACCTTCATACAATGTATTACATTATTATATTTTAAACAATTATATGGTTTTATTAAAATATTTTACTTTAAAACAGTTTGTAATTGTTTAGAAGATTAAAAATTATGGAAAATATTAGATAACAATAAAAGTCTTCTACAGATGCTAAAAGCCAGATATATTAGTAGAAAATGATTATTTTTTAATGAGGATAGATTTCTAAAATATTATGTTAAAAACTGGAATGATGAAAATGATTTTTAATAAATATGATATTACTGAAATGTTGAAAATTGATATACCTCAAATTATGACAGATGCAAACATAGTTTAAACTGCGATGAATATATTTTTAAAATGTCATTTAGGAACATTTACATTAAGTTAAGTTCCATTTTTTGCTGTAAATATAGATGATATAAAATAAAATGAGAGTTAAATAATACAAAACTCATATGAAGATCATTCAACAAAAATTAATGTTCAATAAATAAGAAGGATTGGTAATTTTCCTGAAAATACAACTTTCAAAAAGTCTGATCTTTGTAAAGGATTTTTAGAACATTATATAAAAAACAGTAGACTTATTGTTACTCATATTAAAAAATCTTATTTAATACACTCAATATCAACTGGATAATTAATTAAAATATCTAATAATAAGGTTACCTAATTAATGAATGATCAATAATAGATTATTGATTATGTGATAATTCAAATATATAGACATTTACTATTAGATATATGGATTGTTAAAATTTATGTTCCAAAAACAACTAGACAAATGGTAGGGTTGTTAAGATCTGAAGATTTTAAGGAAAATGATGGAAAAGATTTAATGGATAGTATCATAATATATAAGAAATAAGCAATATTAAGTTTTAAAGATTTAGATTCCTTTACAGATTTTACACCGAGATAAAGTGTAAATTTATAAAAATCAAATCACCGATTTAGCTAACCTAAAATATCTTAATTACATTCTCCTGCTATCTCATGTATCTAAGCATAAAATCATATGATATAATCTTAAGTTACTGCATACTATTTAAATGATTTTTTCTCACTTACTAAATTAGTTACAGATTTCACTGAGTATCATTTGGATAATGGAAATAAAGAATAGTATATTATAAAGGAAAAATTAGTTTGGATTAACATAATTAATAATAATTTTTCATTAGAATAACATCCAAAATAGTAAAATTGTTTTTTATCTCTATTATTTGATTAGAAAGAGATTAATCTTTAGGAATTACTATTTTAACGTTATATTAGAATAGAAAGAGTTGGAGAATCTCATATTGAGTTTTACATGAAGTATACTTAAAAAACTGATCAATTAAAGGGTATTGCACTTTTAAAAGGAAAAATAAATCAATTAAATTTGCATAATAACAAATTTCCTAGTATAATTAGTGAAGTTAAATTCAATGAAGAATAGATTAAATTTATGAAAAGGACTTGCGTTTTCTTTCCTTTTGATGCCATCAGTTATGCTAATACTTCTAATTTCAATATTGAATTGAAATATTTCTCATATAATAAATTTACTGAAGTTAAAGAGTAAATAAATTTAAGAGAATTGCTTAATTTATATATAGCAGATGGTTTCTATAAATATCAAACTAATTATATGAATTCAAAACTAAATCATTCAGACATCATAAGTATTTGCTATTATATGATTCATAAGATTAAGACATAAAACTTTTTGAATTTAAGTTAATACCATACAATACCTAATTTAAGCTAATTAAAAAATTAGAAATAAACAAATAAATTATAAAAACCAATTAGATTTTAAATAAAGACCTTTAAGAAACCACAAATTTTCATTATATCTCTTTTATATAATGAAGTATAAGTCATTTGTATAAATTGGAAAACTTGTCAATAAATAAATGATGTATTTTCATTTAGTTATTTAAACGAACACATAATGCATTTCAAATATTTAGTTGATAAAGAACCTAAAATAGCATTAGAAAGGGTAGCATAAATAATTGATAAATTAATGAATATTATATTAATAAAATGAAATCTATTATATTAATATTATTGATACAGCACTATTATTGTTGTGAAATCTACTACAATAATGATATATTGTTTGATTTCACTAATACAATAGGTTAAAATATCTAATTAAGCGATAAAAAAATCTTGAACATGAATATTTGTGGTACAATACCATTCTAATGTGTTACTTAAAATGAGAAACAAATCATGGTAATAAACGAAAAATCAACTTCAAATTTAATAATAGCAGAAGAAGATAATGAATGTGATTTTTATTCAAAGTAGCATGATTATGCCAAAAATGATCTTAGACTTATAAATGAAAACAACCCTTTTGCAGGAGTGATATTGAAAATTTAAGGTGTTGAAGATGATGAGAATCTAGAACTATTATTAATATGTAGTAATTCAGATTAATTTGAAATTTAAACAACATGTGAATAAGATTATTGTATAAAGCATAAAAGCGTTTGCCCAAATCTAGTTTTTAATCCAATAATGAGGTTTTATTAATATTTGTACATTCCTCTAGGTGTAATTTTCATACTTTTAGGAATTTTTTTAATTGTTTTTGGATTTTAATATTTGAGATTGACAACAGTTGTATTGGCTTTCATGTTAGGAACAGCAATATATACAATTGTATTAGGTGAGGGAGTTTTGGATTAAGATTCAAGCGATTTTGCAATAATAATAATATTATGTTCTGGTATAGGAGTTGGGATCATCTATGCAAATACAACTTATGTAAGATACTTGCTTGTAAAATAATAGATTATAATTTTGATTAGGGAGTATTTAATATAGGTCTAGTATTTGGAGTGCTAATTACTCTTTTAATTGAACCATTATTTTTACATTTATTCAATAGTCATCCAATGTATTTAACAATGACACTAATAATGTTGATTTCAGGATTGATTTTTGGATTTTTGGCTTGCAAATTTCTAAACACTTTTGGGATAGGAACAACAGCTTTAGCAGGAGTATAATATGATATTTAATATAGAGTTATTTATTAATCAAACCAATAGGATGGTTTGCAGGTGGATATCCTAATGAAATTTATTTAGTAAAGATAACATTTTATGGATTTGATATTTCCATAGATTTTAGATTTTACTTATATTTTTCATCCATAATTGTCTTAATGATTGGAAGTGTATTCTTTTAATATAGATAATTGAGAAAGAGAATGAGTATGGATGAAATGTTTGCATATAAAGATATGGATTATTATGAAATGGGAAATATAGAAAAGGGAAAAAAATCAGATGTTAAAGGATTTGAAGATGAAACTGAAGTAATAATTAGATTTAATATAAAGGTTGTTATGCAATCTGTACAATTTGTTAAAAAATTAAGTGAAAAAGGTTAGAGAAAGAGTGATTCAAGTGAAGAGAATTAGTGAATTTTAATTTTGATAATATTGTTATTCTGTTGATATTTGCATTCAATTGTGGAAATTCCAAATCATGAATCCTGTTGTTCCCATAAAAGCAGCCCAACCCCAAAGTTCATAGAATCCTCTATAACCAGCATGATATTAACGAATCACTTATCTTAAAATTGAATAACATTTTACCTATGTGTACCATTACAAAATGGAGCATTTGCACTAGATTTACAATTACACAATTTATAATATCCAGAAGTATCAACATTAAATTTGATTGGTCTATTTCTAGTTGCTGAGGCATTGCACATTCCATCACACCATGGATTTGCTTATGAAATACCACATGAACACCATTAATAAATCTTAATTTAGCTTATTTGAATTACCTTTCCCTTCTATAGATAACAATTATAAGGATAGAAACCAGCAACATAAGGTACTGATGCTGGACGATATTTTCCTTCAGGGTATGGAATGGATTCAGGTAAAAGCACAAATTTTTACTAAGGAAAATCTGTAATATCATCTGGCTTTCTTTCTTTTCTAGCTTTATTTATTAATCCAATTAAAATATTACCTGCAGGTGGAGTAATGATCTCAGGTGGTAATGTATATGGATCACGTAAATGAGCTTCACCATGTTAAAGTATCGTTGACACGGTTCTGTATTTAGCTGCCTTCTTCAAGATTTAAGACATCCAAAATAAATTAATTAATACAATATCAATAATTAATATTTCACATACTAACCAAGATAATCAATCTATTTATTCATATGCCTATATCAATAAACATTATAGAATTATTTATTAGACATTCATAGATATTATATATACAATATAATTCTTACTAAATGTTGTATGCTGATTATAATACCACTTCGAAATATTCCTATTAGATAAATTTGCTGGATTTAATCTTTCATACAATCCAAGCTTTTAATATAAAGATTGATAAAATGATTCATACAAAACCAAAATTCATTTATTATTAGAAGTAAAGCTATCTAATATCGTATTTAAATGATTGAAAGATAAATGAAATAGATTCGGCTGGAATATATATTCATATTTGTATGAATGTTTCATTTTGCTATATAAATGGGTCCATATCCTTAGCATTTAACCACATCTACTGCAAATCAAACCTTCTTGATTTAATCATAATTATTTTATATTTTTACAATTGATAATATTAGATTTTTTATAACAAATAATTGATCATATACAACAGAATTTTGAATATTGAATAAGTTTGCAAGTAAATGAATATTTTTATGATTTGGAAGAAAGAATTAATGATTTTGATTAAATTATATGAATTTAGAAATCTGATATCATTATGGGGGTTATTACTAAGGTAATAAAGCTCTTAATAATAATATTTTATTTAGATTAATGGCAGTTTATTGAATAAGATCTGGCAAACAAAACTAATGAGGTTTTTCTTCTTAGACCATATTTTCTTCCTTAACATGATCTTAATCATGTTATTATTCTATTAGCATTTCAGCACTTTAAATAACATGAGTATGATGTGATCTTTACTATGATATATTAGGGCCTTAAATTTAAATAACTTTTCTAATAATTTTATCTTAATTGTTTTAAACTACTTCTTACTCTTTAGATTTCTTTTTTTTTCTTGGTTATTCTTCATACTCTTAATTATCCTATTATTATTATTCATTCTTTTTCAATTATAAAAGTTTGTCATAGACATCAATGTAGGCTTATTTAATATCTGGTAGATCAGTAATTTAAGTGAAATTTTTAGGTAATTCAACTGGATCAATAACAACTTCAATGTCATCATTATTAAATGGTTCTAGAAACTCTTATAATTTCTTAAGATGTTATTGAAATTTACTAATAGTATTACTACTATCAACACATAGTATGATATATTTTTAATCTAGTTTGTTATTTACATTGTTATTTGTACTTTTATATAATACTTGTTAAATTGTCAAAACTAAAGATTTAGAATCTTAAAATTTAAATACATTTGTATTGAGATACAATTTAATACATGAACTAAATTTAATACATAGAAATAAAGGATGTTTAACTTTATGTCTTATGTTTGGAGCTGAGAAATAATTATTCAATCCTTCAATAGTATTAGTAATAACTTCAGTATTTTATGGTTTTGTTGTTGTGAATTGTTTTTCAAGTGTATTAGTTGGAAAAGGATCGAAATAAGATTGTAATTTCTATTTATTTTATTATTCAATATCTCTGGCTGATTTTCTTGAATCAACAAAAATAGGAGGAGAAATACGTGAAATTAAAATCTATGGGAATTCAAACTTACTCTAACAAAGATAAAGTGTAATTATAATATGAAATTTTTAATGCTAAATAATATAAATGTTAATACATCATGATTATATGAAGTAGTATTAAATTTGAGTCCAGAGAAAATACATTTGTTGTTTTCTAAATCCATTTTTTAATTTCCCTTAACACCTACTTCCAAAAGATGAAAAGTCTTCATAGGACTTACTGTAGGTTTAACAATTTAAATTTTTGCCTAAATAAAAAAAATGGTTAATACATAGATTTTTCCAGGTGGAGCAAGCTTCTCATCAGTAGTGGGATCAGTTATCTAAGGTTATTTATAAAATAATTATTCATACTTCTAATTCAACACCAATATCTGGTAGATTCCAACTTTTATGCCAATTCCAACCTAATCCATTTTTATTTGTGTAAATGAAATTTCTACTTTGTTCTATTTTAAGATCAATAACTGGATCTATCTAACCTTATTCTGATGGTATTTTTAGTTAAACTGAAGGACTTAAATTCCAAGTTGTTTCTGTATCCTTCGATATGCGTTTTACATCATACGAACATGGAATCCATTCCCATTACTTATCCTAAGGAGCCAAGTCAGATTTCTAATTTTCCTTCATTAAAATTATATAATATTAATGATTTCCATCTTTATTAAGGATTGTTTAAATAATATAGACTTAGAACTTTCACTCAAAATATCTTAGAAGATCTATTTTCTAAGTCAGTTATCACTTTTGAAGAAATTCTAGATGTTTTAACACTACCAGAAATCTAATCAATCTAGATCTAAATAGTTTGCAATCTTTTACAGTTCTTTCTAGTTCTTTCATCTATTCTCTTAAAGATTTAATAATTACTTATAAATGATTCAATATCTTCATTAAATCGATCCAAACTATCCTAAATTAACAATATCTCAATATAAGTATTAATTCTTTTTAGTTAAATTTTGACTTACGATGTTTTCGATTTTAGTTGATTACTTATTTGACCAGAACTAAACATTCCAAATTATTAAGTTCAATAAGAATAACACCAATAATTACTCCCTCTGTTATTTATTTAACGAATTTCAATTAGATTATCTAAATCTGACTAAACTACAATATTTAGTCAAAATTATTGAATTCATCATAAAAGGAGAGATAATACTCTATAAATTAGAGAATTCAATCTACTTTTGAAGATGTCTTTATAATAATTAATACATTTTGGATCATCTCATAAATCTGCATCGTGTGAAATTCATTAGGAATCTTTAAATCACTAATGATTATACAAGAATATGATTTAAACTTTATTGTAAACTTACCTTAAAAATTCAATTGTTAGCTTTAGGAGTTTTCACAATCTTGCTTCAAAAAATTCATAATTGAACTTGTTAATAATTGTTGCTAATTTCTTATTGATATTTTTTCCTAAAACTTAGATTTTATTTAATACTTTGAGAAGTATTCCAATCATTCTAAATTTAATTATTTTGCCAAGATTCTCAACTTTTAAATTGACTAAATCATATTCATAACTATCAATAATTGTATAAATACAAAAAGAAATTTGAATTTAATAATTAACTCTAAATTCTATTCCATTAAATTAGATTAAATATCTTATGCAAAAAGATTTATTTTATTTTGTCAACAAATGCATAAGAAAATAAATAATTGAATAATTTAAGAATACATTTAATAAAGGATATTTTTGAATCTCGTTTCATAACTCTTCTAAGAATTAAAAGTTCATTCAAAAAATCTACAAAATTGGAATTCTTTTAAAATACTGCTCTAACTTTGATTAAAAATATTGATCAAATTATTACTAAAGTAAGGTATCAATTTAAAAAGGCAAAAATTTTCGATTCAATTTAATAAATACTGTAATTATTAAAATAAGTGAAGAGCTATAGTATAATCTGATTCTATAGAAATAAAATTACAAATAAGTAAAATAATAATAAAGAATTCAATGAAAAAATTATTATAATTTCTGATATGAATCCAAAGAAATTCCTTAAAATTGCACCATTTAAGAAGATTAAAAATCAGAACCATAAAAATTGGATTCATTTGGATGTTACTGAATAAAAAAAAAAATGTTTTTTTAGTTCTTAAAATGAATATAAGTAGAATTCTACATTTGCCCATTTAATTTTAAGTAATTCTAGGCTAGATTGTTACTAATGTTTATTAATCTAAGTAAGAAAGATATTTTTAAATATTAAAATATTAATAATCATTACTTATACACTTTGAAATTAATTAATTATAAATGATCTGTAAAAAAAAAAAAGTATTAATAAATTATTGTTTAAATTTATTAAAAATTAATGCTCATAGAATCAGTTGATCACTCTACTCCAAAAACAATTGAAGATTGTGAAAGTAGGAATAAATAATCAACTTAGTTTCAGAGCCATAATTTGATAAAAAAGTCATCTATAAACTTGAAGTTAGAAAATCTCATCTACTCCAATAGTTCCTGAAATATTAAGTTGAAAATACTTAAAAGAGCATTGTAAATCTAAGAAAAATAATTTCTAGTGATGAGGTAATTATAAAAAATGCATGTTTTAATTTGATATTTGCTCGTTATTATATTTATTTGTTTAATTTAATTTTATTAGGTAAAAAATAAACGAATCTCAAGAAAGAATTCAATTACAAAACCTTACAAATGCTAAAATTGTACTCATACTTATTCTTCAAAAGCAGCTTTAAAGTAGCACCTAAAATTCAAACATTCTGATGATCAAACTCCTTTAACTCAACCTTTAGATTTATAAAAAGTATTAGTTGAACCATTATCCCAAATATGAAATTAATTTGTTAATTTATATTTTGTATTATAAAAAAGATATACTCATAATTAATTTATTTTTTGTACTATAAAAAAGATCGAAACATAATTAGTTTCTTAATTTATATTTATATAAAAGATATATTCAAGATATACTCAAATTTCTCAATAAAATTTATTTATAAATGATGATCATTAATGCATTAATTTAAAGAAAAATCAAATCAAAATAAAAGAATATTTATTATAAATGATAATATTTATAAAAGAAATCTTGTCAATACTATATATATAGATGTTTAAAAATAATAGAAATTTGATATTATAAAATAAAATAATTATTTGCTCCTTAATATATTGTAATTTGTTATTAACAAATTTTTATTTATATCTGAAAATTTTATCATAACAAGCTAAATATAGTTCATATTTTAAATTTATGAAAATGAGAATTACGTTAATTTAAAATTCAAAAAGGAATTTACACTTTCAGCTATAAAAATTGACTACAAGTGAGGAATAAAAATTAGACATTTTTTATCCTGAATATAAAAAATTCTCATAGATATTTTGAAGATATTAGATTTGAGAGATACTTGTAGATATATAATAGATAATAAGGATTATTCGATAATAAAGTAATAAATAATTAGTATTAATTTCATATTTTAAATTAATTCATAATGTTACAAGAGAGTGCTAAAATAAAACTCGCAAGTCGTCTATTCGATAGAGGAAAACCCCCTTAAAGTAATACAAATGAGAGACCCCTAACTACAAAGATTGCAATAAGAGCATAGATGAATTAGACACTGTCAAAAATTGAGAAAGTTCCTGACAAATTGCCTGCAATTCATGAAGAAAGGAGTTTTTCTTATTAGAAAACAGGGGCTGGAGGTCTAAATTAGACAAGAGGGAAATCATAGAACAGTAATAATAAAATATTGATTAGATTCAATTTAGATAATGATTCATTGCCAAAACACAATAAAACTTTTGATTTAACAAATGATATATTCTTAGATGAGAGAAGATTATTAAAATCTCGATAAGTTCATGAGTTAATGGATCGTATGATTGGAAGAGTGAAACCTCTAAGTCCACCAAAAGAAACTTAAAAGATTATTTAAGTGTTACCAAATAATATTTTAGATAATACTCGAATATCTATAATTAAGGATAATAAGACAGGTCCTAGAAAGACTATTAGAGCATAATAGATGAGGAAAGAAATTTTGAATAAAACTAATCTATCTTAAGTTTCAGACAGTTCAGATGATTCAAATGATGAGAATGGTAATTTTGGATTAAAAGATGTTGATGCCTTCATTTAGATGATTAAAGAGCATAAATTAAGCTAATAAGAATTCATGTATTTAATTAAAAGAAAAAAACATTCTAATGATGCTTACAATATGAGGATAGTCAATTATCCATATATTCAAAAACATTAATTAAATAATTTTTATACACTCTCAGCTAAGGGGTTGACCAGATATGAAAATAATATTACAATTGAATTTGTATCATTAAATACTTGGTTGGAAGAACGAGATTAATTTAATGCAATAAAATCATTAAGTTTTTTTAAAAAGTTTAGAAAATGGAAAACATTGAAAAAATGGCAGAAAATCTTACATTAATAAAGAACTTCAGTTGTTTAAGCTTAATTATGTGAGAAAATGTTAATTTTAAATCCAATTTATTAAAAATTAATAGTTTCACATAGAAGTTTATGTTATGAAATTGAAGCACTTAGAATTGTGGATATTGAGAAAATAGAAGAAGAACTAACTGACAAAAAAGATTCTTTTTTAAGTTTATAGGAATTTAGTTTGTTGTAATAGAAATAAAGGAATAAATTAGTAGATAAAATTTAAATTTAATCAAGAAAGATGAAAGAAAATTGTTTATCAGGACTTAAAACTGTTATAGATAAGTTAAGAACACAAATAAATTAAGAGAAATAATCAGATAATGAGTAAGTTCCCATAAAAATAGAGAAAACAATGTCTTAATCTAGATAGATTGATAAAAAATAATAAATTATAGAGACATTTGGATTTCCAGAAAGAATGGATTATGGTCATAGAGCATTAATGAGGACAGAATTTATTAAATTTTTAAGATTAGCTTATTTGTTAGACTTTATTGCTGTCTAATCTTTAGGATAGATTTACATAAAATCTGCAACAGAATTTGTAGATAAACTAATAAGAGTTCAATAATGTAGTAGAAATAATAGGAAACTACCAAAATTGACAGAAAATGATGATGAAAAGAAAGATATTCAAGAATATGATCCAATTTTTACTATTGAATTAAGATTCAATCCAATAGATGGTCATCTTGATATTGAAAGATAATAAGTTGCTTGGGAAAATTTGAATGATAATTTATTGAATTTTGATTTGTAAGAATGTATAAGATTGAAAGAGGAAATAGTACAGGTGAATGAGTAAGTAGAGAAGAAAGCCTAAAATACTCAAAATTAACAGAATTAAAATCAATTATAGGAATCAAAGGAAGATTATTAAGAGGATAATGAGATTGTATATAAAAGGGAAGTTAAAAATCTTTATGAAACATAATTGGAAGTACGTCCATCAAAGAGAGAATTTCTTAGCAAAATTTAGGAGGCATTTTGTGATGGATTGGATTAGATTTAAGTAATAGAGAGATGGAGTAAACATCCTGATTTCTTATAATATGTTTAAGCATTAGAAGAATGGGATGAAATAATTGGAGATAAATGGACATAGCCAGATTCAATCAATTTGAATCCTTCATATTGGATTAAAGAACATCCAATGAATAATATATTCATGCATGAAATTTCATTAGAATTGGATTAAGCATTTGAAAAATTGGAAAACTTTTAAAAAGAATTCAATGAATATTTAAATTTGATTTGGAGATAAGAGAATAGTTAATTATAATAGTTAGAAAATCCAAGATTGATGTATTAATCGAAGATATTTGCATGTACTATGAAAAATGCATAATTAATTGAGAATATTCTTCAATAAAAATTGATACCTTAAGTAGATATAGGTTTGTATAGAGTAAAGATATAAAATATTTAAGAATAATTAAGTGCTCGACAATAATAAATATTCTAATAATTAGAGGAACTTTATTTACAATTATTTAGAAATAGAGCATAGATATTAAAAACGTGGTTATAGTAATCAAAAAAATCATTATCTAATTCGGTAGATCGGATTGAAGAATTTATAGAATAAAAGAACTCTGTTGATCGAATAACTAAAGAATTGCCTTAAAAGAAAGAAGAAATAGAAACAGCTATCAGTATGATAACATTAGCTCAAGATTGTAAATTATAGTCTTTGAAGAAGGAGGATAAGGATTTATCATAAGAATTAAATAGTTTAGAGATTTCTTTAAATAAAGAATTGTTAGATGCAGACAACAATACAGCCAAAAATATTGAGAGATTTAAAAAGACATTAAAAGATCGTATAGACAAATTGAAAGGATAATGTATAGACGTAAGTGAAGCAGTAAGTAAAGATAAATTTTTAACATTAAATACAGATTTGGAAGATGCTATAAGGGAATTAAATGAAATAGATGCAAAGACAAAACAATTAGAGAAGAGTGCTCAATTATATACTTAATATGAAGAAATCCTTTAAATATAAGAACAAGCTCAATATGAAGTTTTAGAGAATACTAGAGAGTAATTGAATTTAAGATTAGGAATGTGGTAAGGAATTTAGGATTTCAGAAAATTATCATAAGAATGGTAATAATTATAATTTACTTCAATAAATGCAAAAGAAATAGCATAAAAAACAGAAGGATTTGTAAGAATAGTATAAAGATGTGAAAAGAATTTATAAGAAAATAGAGTGATAGCATATTTAAAGAAGATAGTATGGGAATTCAAAGATACTATTCCAGTAGTTACGGCATTACGTTCTCAATATTTATAATAGACACACTGGCAAGAAATAAAATAATTAGTTAGATAAGAATTTGATGTAAATGATTAATAGTTTACATTGAATACATTATTGGATATGAATGTAGCATAACATAATGAGATGATTACAGAAATTGCAGTTAAGGCAGCTTAAGAGGATTCTCTTAATATATAATTAAAAACATTAGAGACTTAATGGAATGAGGTAGAATTGAAGTTAAAACCATATAAAGATCAGTTGGATGTAATGGTTTTAGGAGAAGTTGAAGAATTAATTCAATTATTTGATGAAGGACTAGCTAATATGTCAAATATATTAGCTAGTAGATATGTTAGACCTTTAAGATAGAGAGCTGAAAAATTTTAGTCTGATCTATTACTATTATCGGATATTATAGAAAAATGGGTGGAATGTTAAAAAAAGTGGATGTATTTAGAAAGCATCTTTTGTAGTTAAGATATTAAGAAATAATTATCAAATGAATCTTAATTATTTGATAGTTGTGATAGATTGATAAAGAAATTAGTAAAGTAAGTTAATTTAAGACCTTAAATTATGAGATTGTTGGCAATGTAAAATATGTTAGATAATCTCACTAAAACACTTGAAACTTTAGAATAAATAGAAAAATCTTTAGAAGATTATTTAGAAGTAAAAAGAGGATCATTTCCTAGATTCTATTTCTTATCTAATGATGAATTATTAGAGATTCTTTCTAAATAAACTGATATTATATCAGTCTAATCTCACCTTGGATAATGTTTTGAGGCATTAGTCAAATTGTACTTTGGTGATTAACCAAATGTTATATAAGGAATTTATTCTCCAGAAGGTGAATTAATTTAATATTATAAGTCTATTCCTGCTAGAGGGAATGTTGAAACTTGGTTACATTTGTTAGAATTGGAAATGGTAGAAACTTTACGTAAATTGTGTAAATAAGGTTTATAAGATTATTTGAATGGAATGCAAAAAACTAAAACTGATTGGATACTGAATCACAGATCACAAATTGTTGCTGTCGTCAGTTAAATCTTATGGTCTATTAATACTGAAGATGCTATTAATGAATCTAGTGTTAAAGCTAATGCTCTCTATGAATGGCATGATATGATGGAAATGCAATTGAAATAACTCACAGCTTTAGTCAGAGGTGATTTAACTGTTGTCTAAAGAAAAACTATTGTGTCTTTAATTACTACTGATGTTCATAATAGAGACATAGTTCTAAAATTAGCTGATAATAGTGTTGAAACAACTTCTGATTTTTAATGGTAATAACAATTAAGATATTATTGGGATGATGAATTTGATGATTGCTTAGTTAAATAAGTCTCTAGTCTCTTTCATTATGGATATGAGTATTTAGGACCTACTAGTAGATTAGTTATCACTCCACTTACGGATCGTTGTTGGATTACAATTACATCTGCCTTAACTAATTAATTAGGAGCAGCTCCTGCAGGACCAGCTGGCACAGGAAAAACAGAATCTACAAAAGATTTAGCTAAGTGTTTAGGAAGATATTGTATTGTTTTTAATTGTTCAGATCAAATTACTGCTGCTACCATGAACAAATTGTTTAGTGGATTAGCATAATAAGGTGCATGGGCATGTTTAGATGAATTCAATAGAATTGATATTGAAGTACTTTCCGTTATTGCACAATAATTATTGACTATTCGTATTGCATAACTTTAATAATTAAATGAATTCCTTTTTGATGGAAGGCATATCTCATTGAAGAATACTTATGGAGTCTTTATTACAATGAATCCAGGTTATGCTGGAAGAACTGAATTACCAGATAATTTAAAATCACTATTTAGACCTGTGGCTATGATGATTCCAGATTACAGATTAATTGCAGAAATTATGTTATTTGCTGAAGGATTTGAAAATGCTAATGATTTATCAAGCAAAATGGTTTAGTTATACAAATTATCATCCTAACAGTTATCATAACAAGATCATTATGATTTCGGTATGAGAGCAGTCAAATCTTTGCTTGTTATGGCTGGTTCATTAAAAAGAGCAGATACAACAATTCCTGAAGATATTGTTCTAATTAAGGCAATGCGCGATGCTAACATTCCAAAATTCCTCAAAGATGATATTCCATTATTTATGGCATTAATTTAAGATCTATTTCCAAAGGTTGAGATAGCCAATCAACCTTTTGAGTTTCTTGAATAACAATTGAACAAAAAATGCAAATAATTTAAATTGTAAATAATACCAGCTTTCACAACTAAAATGTTACAATTATTTGATACTTAGAATGTAAGATTTGGAACAATGATTGTAGGAGGTAGTGGATCAGGCAAGACTAATTGTTATCAAATATTGGCTGAAACAATTTGTGAAATAAAAGTATAGAATTTATCATAGGATCCAAGATTCTAAGAGTTATAATATGTGATTTTGAATCCAAAATCAATATCGATGGGAGAACTTTATGGAGAAGTCGATCCATTTACAAATGAATGGCAAGATGGTTTGGCAAGTTCTATAATTAGAGAATGCAATAATAGTAAAGAGAGACATTGGATTGTTTTTGATGGACCAGTAGATGCTTTATGGATAGAGAATATGAATTCAGTATTAGATGATTCAATGACTTTGTGTTTGGCTAATTCAGAAAGAATAAAATTAAGACATGAATTGAGAATGTTATTTGAAGTTCAAGATTTATCAGTAGCATCTCCAGCAACTGTTAGTAGATGTGGAATGGTTTATATGACAGTTGAAGATATAAATTGGTACAATTATGTAGAGTGTTGGATTGAAGAGACATTTTCTGATTAAGAAAAGGATTAAATTAAATGTTGTAATTAATTGAAGGAAAAACCAAAGAAATCACTAAAAATAGAATCAAAATATTTAGATTTAATTAGAAATTTATTTAAAAATTAATATAAATTTTTGGCAGATAAACTCAAACATTTTGATGAACCATTCATTACAATAGAAATTTAGAGAGTAAAAAGTGTTTGTAACATTTTCACATACTTTTTGAAATCCATTCTAGTTTAGAAATCTGCTGATTTACCAAAATAGATTACAGCTGTATTTGCGTATAGTTGTATTTGGGGTTTATGTTCATCATTTGAATAGAAATAATATGATAAGGTATAATATTTTATTATATTTCAAAATCTTTATTTTGCAGTGAAATTAGCCCCCATCTTTTTGAGTGTATAAATAGATGGGATAAGGTACCTGCAAACATTAAAACCCAAGAGGTAATTAAATGAAGAGTTGCAAGTGTAAACTTTGTTTAATTACTATTGGGAATATTCTAAAATCATATTCACATATATATATATATAATCTATTCAATTAATTATTATTTTAGATTGCCACATACGTAAAAGATCAATTTCAGTCGTTGCTCTATCCAAAAGGAGACACAATATTTGATTTCTATGTTGATGCAAATGATTTCACAACATTGCAATCATGGGAATCTCAATTATAAGAATTTTAATTTGTAAAAGATCAATCATTTTTCAGCATAGTAGTTCAAACAGTTGATACATTGAAATTTTAATACATTGTGCAATTATTAATTAGAGAATAAACACCTACATTAATTACAGGATAAACAGGAGTTGGTAAATCTATGCTAGTGTAATCATTGCTTTTTGAAATGAAATTAAATGAGAGTGTATAACCTATTTTATTGAATTTTTCAGCATAGACAAAATCTAAATAAACACAATTAGCTATAGAATCTAAATTAATTAAGAAAGGCAAAATATTATTCGGAGCAAGAGTTAATGAATCAATAGCAATTTTTATTGATGATATTAATATGCCAGCATTAGAGAAATATGGAGCTTAACCTTGTATTGAACTTTTGAGATAGATGATTGAATTATAAGGAACTTTTGATCGTACAAAGTTATTTTGGAAACATATTGAAGATGTAACTGTATTGATTGCTGGTGGTCCTCCTGGAGGTGGAAGGAATCACTTATCATAAAGATTCGTAAGATAGTTTAATGTTTTAAATATGCCTAATCAATCAGATTCTATTTTAGAGATGATTTATGGATCAATTTTAAAAGGCTACTTTAATAGTATAAACTTTAGCGAAAATGTAAGAAAAACTAGTGATTAAATCACTAGAATTACAGTTGAATTATTCAGAAAAATATCTTAAGAATTATTACCAATCCCTGCTAAATTTCATTATACATTTAATTCAAGAGATATCAGTAAAGTCTTTTAAGGTTTATTGATGATAAGACCTATTTCATGTAATAATAATAATGATGTAATTGCTAAATTATGGGTGCATGAATGTGCAAGAGTCTTTTGTGATCGTTTAATTAGTGTTTAAGATAAATTATGGTTCTATAATACAGCAGTTGAGTTATTGATGAGATACTTTACAGTTAATAAGGATGATATATCAAATATCATATTGTTTAGTGATATTCTAAAATTAGAAGCTGCAAATGTTTTATATGAAGAAGTTACAGAAAAAAGAAAAGTTATAGTTAAATCATTATAAGATAAATTAGATGATTATATCATGGCGACTAATGATAAAATGGAATTAGTCTTTTTTGATGATGCTTTAGAACATATATTAAGAATATCGAGAATATTTAGATAACCAAGAGGTAATGCAATGCTTATAGGTGTTGGTGGTTCAGGAAAACAGAGTCTAACTAAATTGGCTTCTTTTCTTATGAGATCTGAGATCTTTTAAATTGAAATCGTCAAAACATATAATGTAGATTCATTTAGAGCAGATTTAATTAAAATTTTAATGAAAACTGGAGGAGAACGAATTCCATTAACATTTATATTTAATGAGGCTCAAATAATTTAAGAGAGTTTCTTAGAAGATATTAATAATATTCTCAATACTGGAGAAGTTCCAAATTTATTTTCTAAGAAAGAAGATCTTGAATAAGTTTATAATACTATTAGACCTATTGCACTTAAAGCTAAAAGATTAGACTCTCCTGAATCTTTATGGAACTTTTTTGTTGAAGGTATTAGAAATTCTTTACATATTGTCCTTTGTATGAGTCCAGTTGGTAATTAATTAAGAATTCGATGTCGTAAATTCCCATCTTTAGTTAATTGTTGTACCATTGATTGGTTTACTTAATGGCCTAAGGAGGCTTTACTAGAAGTTGCTAATAAATTCTTAGAAAAAATACCTAATCTCAAATAAAAAGATTAATTGGCATAAATGTGCATGGAAGTCAATCTCTAAGTTGCAGAATTGTGTGATAAATTTTCAAAAGAATTGAGAAGGTAAGTTTATACAACACCAAAATCTTATTTAGATTAAATATAATTATATGCTAATTTATTAATTTAAAAATAATAAGAACATGGATTGATATAAAGGAAATTAGCTGATGGATTAGATAAATTATTTAAAGCTAATGAGACTGTTGCTATTTTAAAAATAGAAATGTAAGAAATATAACCATAATTAATTGAATAATCTGTAAAGACTGAATAATTTTTGAAATAATTAGCTATAGATTAAAGTGAAGCCAATCTTAAAGAAAGATTAGTGAATGATGAAGCTTAAATTGTCAATTAATAAGCATCTGAAATTAAAATTATAGCTGATGAAGCTTAAACTGAATTAAATAAAGCTTTACCAGCACTTAAAGAAGCAGAAGAAGCTTTATAAAAAATTAATAAAAATGATATTGCTGAAATTAAAGGATTTATCAATCCACCTCCAGTTGTATAATTAGTATTAGAAGCTGTTTGTATATTGTTGCAAGAGAAAACTGATTGGAATTCGGCAAAATCTGTTATGCTTAGTAATGATTTTATGGAGAGATTGATTAAATATGATAAAACCTAGATTACTGAATAAATGTTGAAAAAATTAAGATTTATTACAATTAAACCTGAATTTGATCCAATTTGTGTTGCTTAAAAAAGTTAAGCTTGTAAAAGTCTTTGTATGTGGTGTAGAGCAATAGATAATTATTCAAAAATTGCTAAAGAGGTAGAACCTAGAAAAAAGAAGGTTGCAGATATGCAATAGAAATTAGAAATAAAAAATAAAGAATTAGCAATAAAATAGGATGAATTATAGAAAGTGAGAGATAGAGTTGCTAAATTGTAAAAAGAATGTGATGAAACTGTAGAAAAGAAAAATGAATTAGAAAAAGAATTAGAAAGAACTAAAAAGAGATTAGTGGCAGCTGAAAAATTAACATATTTATTAGCTGATGAAGGTATAAGATGGAAAGATTAAATTAAATTGATTGAATAAGTTTTATAGTAAATTATAGGAGATGTTTTTTTGGCAGCTAGTACAGTCAGTTATTTAGGTGCATTTACAGGATAATATAGAGAATAATTAATAAAAAATTCTATTTTAAAATTGAAAGAATTAGAAATTCCTTTTTCAGATAACTATTAATTATCCTCAACCCTTGAAAATTAGATAGTTATAAGAGATTGGGTGATTTGTGGTTTACCAAATGATGCTATTTCAATAGATAATGGAGTAATTGTTACAAGGGCTGATCGTTGGCCTTTAATGATAGATCCATAAGGATAAGCTAATAAATGGTTAAAATAATTTAATAAAGAATTGAAAGTTATGAGATTTACAGAATAGCATTTCTTAAAAGGATTATAATAATGTATTAGTTCAGGATATGAAGTCTTATTTGAAGAAGTCGAAGAAAAATTAGAACCATCTGTTGATTCTGTTCTATAAAAATAAATTATTGAAATTGATGGACGTAGACTCATTAAAGTTGGAGATTAAAAAGTAGATTATCATAACAAATTTAAATTGTATTTTACTACAAAAATAGCTAATCCTAATTATTTACCAGAAGTATTTATTAAAACTACTGTGATTAATTTTAGTATCACTTTTGAAGGATTGTGTGATTAATTATTAGGTGATGTAATGAAATTTGAAAAACCTGAAATTGAGAAATAAAGAGATGAAATTATTATAAAGATGAGTAATGCTAATAAATAACTCAAAGGAGCTTAAGATTCTATTTTAGATCTTTTAGCAAATGCTTAAGGAATGATATTAGATAATGAATAATTGATTCATACACTTGAAATTTCTAAATTTCAATCTGCTGATATTCAAAAATCTTTAGAAGAAACTATTATTGTAGAATAATAAATTAATGAATCTAGGAATCTATATCATTCAGTTGCTCTAAGAGGAACAATATTATATTTTGTTATTTCTGATATGAGCTTAATTGATCCAATGTACTAATATTCTCTATAATATTTCAAAAAACTTTATAATATATCACTTAATCTCACTCCTAAGACCGATTTATTAAGCGAGAGATTGCTTTATTTAGAAGAAACAATAACTCAAACAGTTTTCAAAGATATTTGTAGAGGTCTATTCTAATAACATAGAAAGATCTTCTCATTCCTTATTTGTGCTTAAGTTTAGAGAGAAAGTGGTTCAGTTTCAAATGCAGCTTGGAATTTATTATTAAGAGATTAGATACCATCTACACCTATTATTAATCCTGATAAAATATTTATGAAAGATTCGTAATGGAATTTGATTTTATGTATTTAAGAATAGATAACAGAATTAACTGATCTCTCATCAGATATCAAAAACAACTTATTATATTGGAAGGAATTTGCTTAAATAGATGATATTTATTAAGCATCATTTCCAACTTAATCTCCACTTGCTGTTTGTTCAACCCTTAATCCATTCTATAGATTGTTAATAATTAAAGCATTAAAGCCTGAAAAAATTCTCTTTGGATTAACAGAGTATGTGATAGAATTATTTGGAGAGTTCTATATCAACTTAGCTTCATCTTCTATGGATGAAATCTATTAATCATCAGAATCACATACTCCTATTATATTTATTTTATCTCCAGGTGCAGATCCTACTTAAACTCTATTTAAATTAGCAAAAGAATAATAAAGTTAAATTGATGTAATTTCTTTGGGATAAGGATAAGGAAAGAAAGCAGAAAATTTAATTTAAAAAGGATAGAAAGATGGAACTTGGGTTATGCTTTAAAATTGTCATTTAGCAAGATCTTGGATGCCATAGTTAGAAAAAATAATGGAATCACTTACATCACATCATATTGAAGTTCATAATAATTTTAGAATCTTTTTAACTTCAATGCCTGCATCTTATTTTCCTGTAAGTACTTTATAGAATGGTTTAAAACTCACAACAGAACCACCAAGAGGATTAAAATCAAATTTATTAAGATCTTATCAAGAATTTCAGCAAGCAGATAATTAATAAAAATTATTTAAATAATTATTTTTCAGTATATCCTTTTTTCATGCAATTGTATAAGAGAGAAGGAAGTTTGGTCCTTTAGGATTCAATATTTCATATGAATTTAATGATTCTGATCTTGATATAAGTATATAGATGATGAAAATGTTTATTACATAAGAAGAAGAAGTACCTTGGGATGCTATGTAATTTATGATAGGATAAATAAATTATGGTGGTAGAGTTACTGATGATTAAGATAGAATATGTTTAACATCAATATTGAAAAAGTATTTAGGGGATCATATTGAAAATAATGTTAGATTCTCAAATAGTGGTGTTTATTATCTTCCAGAAAATGATTATATCAATTACATATCTTAATTACCAAATTAGGAAGATCCTGAAGTATTTGGTATGCATGAAAATGCTAATATTGTATTTTAAACTCAAGAAAGTCAAAAAATATTGGATATTATATTATCTATATAACCACGTGTAAGTAGTACTAGCACTTAAAAATCACCTGATATGATTGTAATGGAAAAAACCATATACTTTTAAAGTAATCTTCCAGAAATTTTGGATAAAAATGCATGCAATTAAAGGCATTATTAAATTACAGAAAATGGTAGTGTTTAATCTCTATCAACAGTTTTATTTTAAGAAATAGATAAATTTAATAGATTATTAGAATTAATTTAATCTACTTTAATTTAATTATAATAAGCAATAAAAGGTTTTGTGCTTATATCTTCTGAGTTGGATGAAATGTATTTAGCTTTTCTTAATAATTCTATCCCTCCTAATTGGATGAAATAATCATATTCTACATTAAAACCACTTTCAAGTTGGTTTAAAGATTTAATTGCTCGCGTGAACTTCATTCGATCTTGGATGGAAAAAGATTTTATTCCTGCTTATTGGATGTCAGGATTATTCTATCCTTAAGGATTTTTAACAGGTGTACTACAAACACATTCCAGAAAATATAAGATTCCAATCAATAAATTAAATTTTAAATTTAAAGTATTTGATATAGAACAAGATAGAATTAGAGATGAAACCAAAGATGGAGTATATGTCTATGGTCTCTATTTAGAAGGAGCACGTTGGGATTATTAACATGAAACACTTATAGAATAATAAGTGGGATAAATTTACTTCCCACTTGCAATGATGTATTTCTAACCTATGGAAGAATATTAGATTGGTGAAGAATTTTATAAGTAATATTATTTATCTATTCTTATTAGTTGTCCTTGCTATAAAACATCCAACAGAACAGGAGTTCTCTCAACTACAGGACAATCAACTAATTTTATTTTATCTATTGTAACATATTTAATCTAATTTCTAAGGATTTAATGACTAAAACTGAAAAACCTGAATATTGGACTTTAAGAGGAACAGCTATTATTTCTTAATTAAATGATTGATTATTTGTTATAAATTATATAAACAATTATTATTACGTACATATTCTTATAAATTACTTCTATATTATTTTTAGACTAAATATATATTTTTAATTCAATTTTTAGAATTTAATTAAAATCAATCAATTTATAAATTTATTATCAAGTTTAAAAACAAAATATATCTTTTGATTATCTGAAAGTTTCTAATATAAAAATAAAGAATCATCACTTAAATTGAATAATTTGCAAATTAATCTTAATTAATATCTTGATCTTTACTCTTATTAGAACTTCCTCTACATTTATCTTGAAAATTATTTATACTCTAAGATTATAAAATAAATCTATATTTTTACACTAATTCTTTTACTATTAAAATCTTTGTAAATCGCAATCTTATTGTATTAAAATCTAACCTTCTTGATCCAAAAATGAAAATGATTTGAAACTTGATGTTTTTACTTTGGAACAATATTCTAAATGATAATTAGATTTGAATTATATGGGAGTATCACAATATTTAAAAATCTCAGATATTGAAATATTCCTTCAGATCTCCTTATTCTCCTTAATAAGTGAAGTGAGTTATCATTTAACTTATTTTTGGAAATAAGTTCTTTAGTTTATTATGACATTTGAATAAATTATTCAATAAAATCAGTGTGATAACTCCTTATCTTTTACACATGTCTTAAAATTAGTTATTTAAAAATAAGCTAATATTTATATTGTCATATTTTTCAAATAATATTCCAAGAAAATGTAAAATAAAATCTAACAGTAGGCTCACAAGACCACCAATGTTAAGAGAGTCTAGACATACCAAAAATAATTATAAGGAACCATCTACTATAGTTTTAAAGTTGGGTAGTTAACCTAATGTAGGAAGTAATTAATTAAGTAAAACTTTCAGAATTACCACCTAAAGTGTTATAATAAAATCCTACTACTGAAGTAAGAAGAATAAAAAACAAATCGATTAGTTAACATATAAATGGAAATGGAATTCATCAATAGGCCAACTATTATAAATAACCAAATAAAAGAGTGATATATGACTCAACAAATTGTTTGAATTCTTAAATTAATCGTTCATCAAGTAATAGAATCAAGAAAATTCATTCAGTCAGTTCCCATAATTGTAATAGTTTAATTTAAATCAAGATGAAAGTTTTATTTAAAATCTTGAAGATCACAGTAGAAATAACATTATTTATAATGAAATTACAACTAGCACTGAGTTAAATGAAGGCAAGAAATTATTTACAGACAATAAAATAGAAGAAGCATTGAAAACATTTTAAAATTACCTTTCAAAATATGGTTTAAATCCAGAGGCATTATATTTATCAGGATTGTGTTATATGTCATTGGATTAAGAAGATAAATACATTGAATAATTTTAGACTCTCATAAAGACATTTCCAACATTTAAAAGAAATGTATATATGTATTTAGCACTGTCTCTTAAAAAAAATAATCTCATTAATGATGCAATCAATGTTATTTCTTAAGGAATTTATCAATTTAATAGATATTTTGAAGCGATAATATTTAGAGCTAAATTATTTTTAAAGCAAAAAAATTATGAGAAAGCCATAAAAGATTTTTATTCAGCTATGTAAATTAATTCAAAAAAACCTGTTTGTTATGTTGGTTTAAGTGATTGTTTTAAATAAATTAACAAAATTTAATAAGCTATCGAAGAATTGAATAAAGCACTTGAATTTGAAGAGTTTTCTAAATAAAAATCAATCATTTTGAAACGATTCACAATTTATTTAGATATTAAAGATTTTGAAAAAGCAACATAAGACATGAAAATTTTATTAGAGATTTGTGAAAACGATTCTGAAGTGTATTATTTCAAGGGAATTTTGATGTAAAAGTAGAGTAATTATTTTATTTAATTTTAGAACGTATTTAAGATGCTCTTTTGGCATTTGAATAGTCAATAAAATTTAATAGTTAAAAGAAACCAGTTACAAAAGCCCTTTATGAAATTGTTAGAATAAAAATAGAATAGAATGATTATTATTCTGCATAGCATGAACTCGATAGAGCAGCCTATCTTGATGTAGATAAAACATAATTATAAAAATTTGAACTCTTTGTTGGAGGAGCTATTTATTTAATGAAGAGAAAATTTGAAGAAGGTACTCATATGTTAACAGAAATGATAACTAAAAATCATCAGAGTGATAGTCTTAAATTTTAAGCACATCAATATCGAGCTTATGGATATTTTTGTTTATCAAAGTACAATTTAGCTAACCAAGACTTAGAATTATATTAAGAAAATCTTTTGGAGAAAGTAAATTTATTACAAATTATAGGCATCTTTATATAATAAACTACTTTGCCATGGTATAATAAAATATGAAGATAATGAATTAGAATAAAGTAAAAGAGAGTTTTTATAAGCTCATAAAATACTTCCAAATAAAATGGAACCCCTATTTTATTAAGCTATTATTTTAATTAAAAGATATTGTTCAAGTCTAGAAAAAATAAGTGAAGAAAATAGAATAATGTATTTAAAAGATGCATTAGATTTACTTGAAAGAGCTGCCAAAAATTGTGAATAATCTAATTTACTTTTCTATAAAGGCATAATACATTTTGCTCTTGGAAATATAGATTAATCTGCATTAGACTTAGAATAAGCTATTGAAAAATCTGAAGATAATCAAGCATAACATTATTATGTTAGAGGATTACTTCAATGTTAACGTTAATTATTTAAACAGGCAGTGAATGATTTTTCAATTTGTTTAAGTTTGGATCAAAATCATTCAGAATCTTACCTTAATAGATGTAAACTATTAACTATGATGGGGGATGTAGCAACAGCATACTTAGATCTATAAAAATACATTGAATTAAGAGAATAATATACAATAAATTATCATACTGTAGGAATTTTATATTTTTTAATTGGAGCTTATGATGAAGCTATCCAAGCATTTGATAATTGTAAATCATTATAAGGATACTATGAGAAAGTGAAAGTTCTAATTTATGGAAAAGAATTAAATTAAGCACTCAATGAACTCTCTAATATTATAACAGAAATGCATAATTAAGAAGCCATAATAGATAAACAGGTACTTACAATATTGAAGGAAACTAGCTAATAAATATCTACCAAAATTTTGGAGGATAGTATAAATACAATTAGCTAAATTTTAAAAACTTAATAGGAAGGTTTAATATTTAGATAATCAGATATATATTTTTATAAAGGTTTATTTTATACTTATTTGGGACAATATTTAAAAGCAAAATAATGTCTTCGCTTCTCATATGATCTTAAAGAAAAAGAAATTAAAAAATCAAGGAATAAATCATTAATTAATTAAAATTCTCTTGAAGATTTTGATTTTACTAACAAGACATATAATATTTATGAACATCTTTATAATTGTGCCATTATAGAAGTAATTTTAGGTAATCTTGAAGAAGCTTTTGAAACTTTAACTTTACTTCATGAACATTTAACATAAATTGAATTCAGAGTTCAATTATAAATCTTAATGGAATTATTACGAGATGATTAGTAAGATAATCCTCCGGAAGAAGAATTTCAGAAAATACAAGAATTCTAATTATTTCCATAACATAATAGATTATGTTCAATATATCCATCAATCAAATTACCTTTGAAAAAATATTCTGTCGAAATAAGGTTATCATTTTGCTTGCCAATTGTTGAATTCCCTTCATAACCTATTTTATTTGATGAACAACTACTTCAAAAAATATCTGTAATTTATACTCTTTTATTTTAAAGCCCAAAGTTGTAGAGAATAAACCAGAAGCTCCTTGGATTAAAAGATCTAGTGAAGGAGTGATATTTACCGACAATATTTAGTTTATTGATGACTTAGATCTTCTATCAACTTTTAGAAAATAAGAGACAGAAGAAACATAATAAGAAATTAATAATTTTTAAGATGAAAATGATATCACCTAATTAAAAGATAAACTTAAGTTGGATGACTAAATTACTAAAAAATTGAATTCGATATTACAAAAAAAAATTGAAGAATGAATTTGCTATTAACAATCATTATATTTAATATGTTTACTAGATTTATTCATTTGGTCATTACTATTTTCATATTTTTAAAAAGAGTATTTCGATATGTTTAAGTATTTTTCTTAAATTTCACTTACTAATAATTTTTATAATTAATATTATTAATAATCCAAAAAATATATAAAAAACTACAACTATTTATAATTCGATCTGAATGCATATGATAGTTGAACTTATATATTAAACCTATTTTGTTTGATTTTACATGAGCTTTTTAATTTCTAATATATTTTGGTTGATAATTTATTATAATTATTGAATTATCAAGTTTAAATGAACTCATTCAATAATTATTAGTATATGGATTTTAAACTTAAAATTAATTCTAATATTTTAATATAAATCCTAAATAAGTGATGATAAAATTTATTTTAATTAAAAAGATATATTTAAAATTCAGGATTAATAGTGTTAATATAAAAATTTGAAAATAAAGTAAGGTAATTCGTGACATAAAAAAAGATTGTATTAATAAAAGATAATTTGATATCAATAATTTTGATTCATCCTATTTGGCCAAACGATGAATTAGATTATTTTTGTATTAATTAGAAATTCTAATTAATTTATTAAAAAATATACTAATAATTGTAATGAATGGCTTTTTAATGTTTATAAATATGTATAATAATTTAAGGGTTTGATATGAGTTGGAATATATCAAATTTCTAGAAAAAAAATGTTAATCTATATAAGCTAATTTTCTTAGAAAATTATGTTATTTTTATATCGTATTATTTCAATATGGGTTGTGGATCTAGTAAACTTGAAGAAGTAGAAAATCCAAATAAGAGTAGTTAAATAGCTTATATGTTTAGTTAAGGATGTTGCTCATTTCTAAATTTCTTCGTCAGGTATGGTTACTGAAAAACATGGATCAATAACAAATGAATATACTTTGCTTAAGCATCCAATAGGAAAAGGTTATGATCAAAAAATATTATTAGGAGCTTTTGGAGAAGTTCGAAAGGGAATTCATAAAGTCACAAATCAAATAAGAGCTATAAAAGTAATTTCGAAAGAAAAAGCAAACACTTTAGAAGTGGGTAGATTGAGAATAGAGATTGAAATTTTAAAGAGATTAGTAAAAGTAAATAGAAATGATAGGATCATCCAAACATAATAAAGATTTATGAATTCTACTAAGATAATAAAAACATATATATAGTAACAGAATTATGTACTGGAGGGGAACTTTTTGATAAAATATAAGATCAGCAAGTATTTTCTGAGAGAAAGGCAGCAGAAACAATGAAATAGGTTTTAAGTGCAGTAAATTATCTACACAAAAGTAAAATAGTTCATAGGTATGATAATATAAATGATAAACTAGAGATTTAAAGCCAGAGAATATATTATATGAGGCAAATAAACCATAAGCACTTTTAAAGATAGTAGATTTTGGAACAAGTAGAGTATTTGAATCTGGATATAAAATGAATCAAAAATTGGGAACAGTATATAATTAAAATTGATTATAAGCCATATTATATAGCACCTGAAGTATTGGAAAGAAAGTATGATGAAAAATGCGATGTTTGGTCTTGTGGTGTGATTTTATATATTTTATTATGTGGACTTCCACCATTTAATGGAGAAACTAATGAAGAAATATTAGAAAATGTGAGAGAGGGTGAATTAAGTTTTGATGGTGAATAGTGGAATTAAATATCTTATGAAGCCAAACTCTTAATTAAGAAAATGTTAGAAAGGGATCCTAGAAAGAGAATAAGTGCTGAATAAGCTTAAAGAGATCCATGGATATCTACTTATGTTAAAAAGACTGAAATGAATATGACTTAATTAACAACAGTTCTAAATAATTTGAGAAATTTTAGAATCGAAAAAAAATTCTAAGAAGCTGCCTTGACTTTCATGGTTAATTAAATGGCTACTAGTTAAGAGAAATAAGAATTATTATAATAATTTTAAGCTCTTGATTTAAACGGAGATGGAAGACTTTCTAAAGAAGAATTAATAATTGGTATTGTTTTAATCAATATTCTAAAAAAGGATATTCTAAATTAATGAGTTATACTGATGCAGAATTAGAAGTAGATAAATTGATGAAGTATATTGATTAAGATAAAAATGGAAGTATTGATTACTCAGGTTTATTATTCAAATCATATATAATAGAATTTATTTTAGCTACATTTAATAAAGTTAAACTTCTCGAAGATACAAGATTGGAATAAGCTTTTAGAATATTTGATAAAGATGGAAGTGGTTCAATCTCAATTGATGAAATTAAAGGAATATTTGGAAGTAAGGAGGCAACTGTTAGTGATGATGTTTGGAAAGAATTATTAGCTGAAGTTGATTCAAATGGGGATGGTTCTGTATCAATTACATTTAATTCAAGATTTCTTTTTAAGAATTCAAAGAAATTATACTTAAAGCAATCAACACTAATACTTCAGATCAGAAACCTTTAAAATGATTAATATATATGTTTGCATTTTCTTTTCTTTTATTTTTATCATTATTTCATTTATTAACTCTTTCTCTTTTCTTTATTTATTATTTATTCTCAAACAAATTTATATTACCAAAATTTTTTGGAATTATTTATTTAACTTTAAGCAACATTTAAATTAATGAAACTTAATATTATGGTAAGATATATTGAATATATATAACTTCAGAAATCAAAAGTATTTTTGTAAAATTTTTTAGTAATGAGTCATCTCTGGTATATAAGAAGGCTTTTAATTTAGTTTTTTTTTACAATCTTTCGGTTTCATATTCTTTGATTTACACCTCCTTTATTCAAGCTTTATTTCATCTTTGCCAAACTTAGATGTACCTTAATTTCCGAGATCAGCTAATTAAGTTCTAGAAATTATTTAAAAAGAGAGATTACGATCTCTCTTTCTACTTAGACTTCTTTATAGAGATTCTCTATAACCACTACTAGTATGAACGTGTAACAGCATTTTAATTAATTTATACAAACTGATTAATTCAATAAATCAAAGAAAAGATTTTTCTTTAAAGTTAGCTGGCTCTTTAGCTCATATGCATATTTAAAATTAACTCTTAAAAGGAATTAAAGATACTGAATATAAAATTTAATTATGTTTAATAATACAGCTTTTCATTGATTTTTAAGTAAATTATAATTAAATAATATCTCAGAAATCTTTACATAAATTAAAAGGAAAAGAATAAGTAATCTTATTAAATAAATAGAATCTTAAATTATAAGTGAAAAATATTTTCATTTATTTTCTTTATTAATTTAATAATTTTCTAACAAATTAAGAACTCCAATTTATTGAACGAGTAAAATATAACAATGCTTCATCCTTTTATATATCATCTATATCACAAAATCTAAAATTAAAATTTATAATTTAAATAAATTCTAATAATTTAAAATTTTCAAGAAGATAAACTAATAATTTATTCTTAAGGATATAAATTATTATCCAAAATCCTAAAAAATCATTTAATGTTAATTGAGGTGTTTAAACAGCCCAAAAATAATGAATGTATTTATTTTCGCGAGAATATTTTGCCAAATTTAAAATAATTTTGGATTCTATGGAATGGAAGGAAAAAAACATTGATTAGCATAATAAAAATCATTAGTCTTATTGTGATTATGGCTTGTGTTTAAATCATTATTCCGTATTCAATAAGTAAAGAAAAGTATTTTTGTATTTATTTTTTAATAAATTATATTAGATGTTATCTTTTTAAAAAAGTAAGTTATTTTGATTAAATATCAAATATTATTTAAGAAATTTCAGATAAACATCGCTCTCCTGATATTGAATTTTTGTGAATTTCTTTCTCAACTATTTCCTTTCTAAAACAACATATTTCATTTTTTTGCATGTACAAGACTATTCATTTCTTTAAAGAACAAGGGTATATATTACTTTAAAAATATAACATTAAAATTCATATACCTTGAACCAAATTATTATTAGAGAATTAAATAAAATTTAACAATTAATAAAATGTAATCATTCAAAGAGACTAAAATCAAAGACTTATGCTTTAAGTTATTAAGAAATTTTGAAATAAATTATCATACTCTTAAAATATTTTCAATAGTTTGATGATAATTGATCAAAGAGAATCAAAATGGAGGCAGCTATTTTAACTGATGAAACCTTTAAGCTTATTGAGATTTATTCCTATTTGTACTGGCTTTCATATCAATAGATTAGATTTCAGATTAATCTTTTAAATTTCTTGAAGAACTTCTTGGAGAATCTTATAAAATGTCTAAATCAACTTTTTTTAAATAATGATGAGATGATTTTAAAGATGGAGAAGCAAATATATTATATGTCTATTTTGCATTTTCTACCTCCATCATTAAAGATGAAATATGTATGTTTAAATTCTTTATTACTTCATTTTGCTTTTTCATTTCTGCTTATTTTTTTGACAACTAAATTTCTAACTAGTTGATTTAACTTTTATCTTTTCTCTATTCATTAAACAAATCATTTATTCTTTATTTAGATAATTAATCTCGAAATTATAAATCTTTAATCTAAGCCTATAAATTTTCGATATCTCTCTTAAAATAATCCAATTATCTTTAATTTTCAGATTTTAATTGTAAAATATTGTTTTCAAATTCATATTTAAGTTACTTTTAAGTATTTCTTTCTTCATAAATATCATGATCATATTTTTACTTTTAAATCAAAATTTCCTCAGATGCAATTTCTAATAATTTAGATTTTTCATCCCCACTCAATTTCGATTAATCAATTATTTACTATAGTTATTTCTATTCCTGTCTTTGTTAATCTAATTAAAAAGAAAATTATTGAGTCATAATTTAGGTTTTATAAGTGAAATCAGCTTAAATCTTTTATTTAAACTCATCAAATTCAGCCGATTACTATTATAGTTCTTATTATTATTAACAGATTAAATCTGAAATTCTTTACTCATATGATTTTTACATTTATTCAATCTCTTAAGTATGTTCCTAATTTAAAAAGATTATTTATTGTTTGNACTATTCATTTCTTTAAAGAACAAGGGTATATATTACTTTAAAAATATAACATTAAAATTCATATACCTTGAACCAAATTATTATTAGAGAATTAAATAAAATTTAACAATTAATAAAATGTAATCATTCAAAGAGACTAAAATCAAAGACTTATGCTTTAAGTTATTAAGAAATTTTGAAATAAATTATCATACTCTTAAAATATTTTCAATAGTTTGATGATAATTGATCAAAGAGAATCAAAATGGAGGCAGCTATTTTAACTGATGAAACCTTTAAGCTTATTGAGATTTATTCCTATTTGTACTGGCTTTCATATCAATAGATTAGATTTCAGATTAATCTTTTAAATTTCTTGAAGAACTTCTTGGAGAATCTTATAAAATGTCTAAATCAACTTTTTTTAAATAATGATGAGATGATTTTAAAGATGGAGAAGCAAATATATTATATGTCTATTTTGCATTTTCTACCTCCATCATTAAAGATGAAATATGTATGTTTAAATTCTTTATTACTTCATTTTGCTTTTTCATTTCTGCTTATTTTTTTGACAACTAAATTTCTAACTAGTTGATTTAACTTTTATCTTTTCTCTATTCATTAAACAAATCATTTATTCTTTATTTAGATAATTAATCTCGAAATTATAAATCTTTAATCTAAGCCTATAAATTTTCGATATCTCTCTTAAAATAATCCAATTATCTTTAATTTTCAGATTTTAATTGTAAAATATTGTTTTCAAATTCATATTTAAGTTACTTTTAAGTATTTCTTTCTTCATAAATATCATGATCATATTTTTACTTTTAAATCAAAATTTCCTCAGATGCAATTTCTAATAATTTAGATTTTTCATCCCCACTCAATTTCGATTAATCAATTATTTACTATAGTTATTTCTATTCCTGTCTTTGTTAATCTAATTAAAAAGAAAATTATTGAGTCATAATTTAGGTTTTATAAGTGAAATCAGCTTAAATCTTTTATTTAAACTCATCAAATTCAGCCGATTACTATTATAGTTCTTATTATTATTAACAGATTAAATCTGAAATTCTTTACTCATATGATTTTTACATTTATTCAATCTCTTAAGTATGTTCCTAATTTAAAAAGATTATTTATTGTTTGAAATTATCAATTTCTATTTTTTAATTCTCACATTATTATTCTAAATTTGAAACATATTCAATATGAATAGGATCATCATATTGTTACGAAAAATTAATTAGTTAATAATTTTAAACATCCTAATAGCTAATTTTATTACCTAATAACTTTTCATATTTTAATCTTTAAATTTATATCTATTCAACATATCCTGAAATTTATTTGTAATTACTCATCATAACTTTATCCATTTCAATTTAATGTTCTTATTATAAGGTTTATCTTTAATTTTCATAATTCTGTTTTATTTACAATAATTCTTAAATTTAATCCTCATTTTATTAAACTTTTTATTTTAATATCTCCTCTCTTTTTTCTTCTAATATTACTTTATTTCTATAAAAAACTAGTTCTTTTTACAATTCTTCCATAACTTTTTCGGATTTTGATAAAGTCTATTTATCTTAAATAACTCCTGTTTTTAATTCTCTAATTTTTAAATGATTTTAATCTAGATTTCTTTCTACTGATTCTTTTTGTTATTTAATTTAATTATAATTTTGTTTAAGCTCAGATATTTACTATGTTAATTATTTATGTTCTTAAATTAATTATCTATATTTTGATTCAATTCTTAATTCTTGTTATTCTAATTCAATTTTAAATACTTGATTGTCAGTTTCTAACTATGAACGTAATTTCGTAATTGTTGTCTCATAATGACTTTATTAGTCTTTTAAAATTTATTCTAATTCTTTTGTTTTTCTTAGATTTTAATTTAATTCAAAATTTTTTTACTATTCCTAATTAATTTGTTTTCTTAATTCTTCTATGTCTTAAATTTAAATGGAATTTTAGTATTTAAGTTATTTAAGTTGTTCATTTAAAGCAGCCTTCTCCTTTTTATATTAAGCCTTTTATTTTATTAGTTCATCAGATATATATGAATTTGACTGTTGATACTGGTATGATTCTTGTTCTCTTTATTTTATGTTATCATTTAAATTATATTATAATCTTTCTATTTATTCAGATAAATTATCTATTTTTTCATGGTCTTTAGTAATTTATTCTTTGATCAAACCAAAAATCTATTAAAAATCAATGAGTTTGGCTTTTAATTATAAGTCTTAATCCAATTCATCTATTATTGTTTATAAATTGTCTTCAACCTCAAATTTCATTAAATTCAATCGATCCTTTAACATGCTATTTTCTTAATGTAATGGCTAATAGTTATGCATTATAATTTACGATTATTTTCCTCTGGAAACGTGAAGGTTTAAGTAAACGATGCTCATCTTAATCTAATCTTTTAGTTTGATGACTAACTGATCGTAATCTATTCATTTTAATAATTTATTGTAACTACAAAATGAAGTTCGCTTGTCCTTAAAAAAGTCATGCAATTCAATTTGAATCAGCATGGGATTATCTTAATCATCTTTAGAAATGTCATATAATAAATGATAGGATTAAGGAATGTGGTGAGACTAGAAAGTAATATATTGAATATATTTGAAGTGAATATTATTTTTGTGCTTCATGTTTATAAGTTTTTGAACTAATAACAGAGAGAGATATGCATTAACACCTCTGCAAAGTGGATAATTTTAAATAGTTGTTCAAAGATGTGAACGTAAATTTTAGTTCATTTATAGAAACCAATTCCTTTAGGAAAGTCTGGGACTAGAAAAATTTAAGAATTAATTAGATTCTACAAAGATATCATTCATCCTAAACAAAGAAATACATTGGATTCTGAATAAACTGAAAAAGATGATTTTCAATAAGAAATTATTAAGCCTTCTGATCCTAGACAATTTATTCCTAAATTAATTGATAACAACATCAATTAAAAGACTGTTAGCAAGAATTCAAGGTTAACTTTTAGTTTATTAGGTGGCCATACTAAAATGGAGGCTGCATATTATAAATTATTTAATAAATCACTCATAGAATAAATTAATAAAGAATATCCTTTTAAGATAACACCAGAAAGTTTAAAGTAATTCTTCTAAAAAAATAATCTTACTATAAATAAATAATTATTAGATGAAGCCAAAGTTTGTGAATTTTGTGAATCTAAAATAGATTTACATCCTGAAATGTACCTATAAATAATTTAGACTAATAATTCTAAATCAATTTGGTTGATGATTCCTGAAATACATAATCCTGTCAAAGATTTTATATTTGATGAACCTTGGTGTGTTTTTAAAATTATTACAAAATAGATCATTTCTGAAAAATCAATTGATATTATTAAAATTAAAAAATAGGATCCTATCATTACCTAATTACAAAATTAAATTTTATAGGAAGAATAAAAAGGACAACGTTTAAAATAATAGCTATAAAATAGTATTGATGATCTTGATTCTATCTTTAAATACATAAATAAAAAAAATTAAAAATTAGATGAATAAGAAAATTTATTAGTAAAATTGTAAATCAAATTAAGAGAAAATGATTAAAACAACTAAAATTTAGTTAATCAATATTTAACACTCAACAGTAAAAAGTTAGAAACAGCAGAAAATAATTTAATTGGATTTTATTCAAAAATGAAAAATATGGAATCTGAAAAATAAAAACTTAAATTAAATGATCTCAAAATTGATTTGTTTGATAAATAATAGAAATAAAATAAATTAAAAGAAAAAGTCAAAACACTCTTTGAAGAAAAAGAAAATTTAATCTAATTTTGTAATGAGAAAAAAAATAAAATTTAAATTACCTAAAAAGAATTAGATGATAAAATTGCAAAAGCCTCTATAACAAGAAAAAAAGTATATTATATATAATACTTCAAAATAGATTTAAAAGATTAAATAATTGCTTTGTTTTTAATGTTAAATAAGAGAGAGAAATGTGATTTAGTTCCCTTGTTAACATTTTTTATTTTGTGAACAGTGTTATCTTAATAACATTTAATAAAAGAATTTTAAATGTCCATTAAAAGAGCAAGAAAAGTGTTCAGCTGAAAATTTCAACAGTAAATACAAACTCGTTAAAATATAAAACATATGAAAATTATATTAAATAATTAATTTATATTGTTCTGAATAATAATTATAAGAAAGGTAAATCTAATCTGATTCGAGTTTACAAGACTCCTCTTTAATAATTTATTTCATAATAATTACTAAAAGCGATTTTTTTCTATTATTGCTAGAGATCCTCAAAAGAAGATAAAAAGATTAGAATAATTAGATAGAGCTAAAAAATTAACAATAATTTATAATAATTTATAAACTTTCTAAAAGAATATCAATATCAAACAGCCTAACTAATAAACAATTCTATTTCATTGTAAATGCAATAAAAATATCATTCCTTATAGGAGTTTAATTTAAATAATGAGGGATGAGTGAGTAATATTTAATGAATTTTAAATTTACGATTAAGCTTGTAGAATAATAATTGAATTTATTGGATAATAATAATTGAATTTGTTGGATAATAATCGTAATAATAAAAATTTTAGAAAATTAATGATTTTTTATTTATATATGTTTTTGATATTAAAACAATAATTATTAGTTTGATGAAATATTCAAAAATACCTTTGATCTCTTCGCCTATTTATTTAAAGAATAATTTAACTTCCACAGAGTAATATATGGCTTTTTTATCCTATAATTCAGATAAACTTAAATTGAATGTCGTAAATAAAAAAAATAAGTAATATTCTTATTCAATTTAGAGAAGTTCGTGTAATAGCAATAGAGGATCAATCTGCTCCTACTTCAATTCAATATATGGCAGATTAAACCTTGATTGTTACAACAATGAATGGATATTACTTATATTCAGAAAATGGTTAATAATAACATCATAAATTAAGAAATCAATTGGGAGATATTTCGTAATATTTTATAAGTGCTACTTTGGTGATTCCAGAAAATTAGAAACCTTTTTATGCTATTGGATTTGAAAATAAAATAATATTCATTGATTAGAAAACACCAAAATAAGAATTTTTTGGAATAAATCTAAAAAATATTCAACCAACATGTTTGGCTAATTATTATTAGTATTTAATTTTTGGTGATACAAAAGGTTAATCTATTTTTTTGAAATATAGGATATATACATTAAAATAAATGTTTGACAAATTCATAAGTAACAGAGACAAAATCTTTAAATTTAAAAACTAAAGACACAGCAATTTTATCGTTGTAGGTAATGGAGAAGAAGGATTAAGAGCCAAAGTAATTAATAATAGTTTCTGATTTCATTGGCAGATTATCTATTGTAGATCTTATAAAATGGGAAATACTGTCAATAATAAATTCTCACATTAAGCCCATTACTGCTTTAGCTATAAACTAATAACTGTATAAGATTTTATAAATTTTATTAGTGAATATTTTTTATCTGGTTCAGAAGATACTTTTATTAACATTTGGAAATTGAACTAAAATTTATAACCTCAATTAGTTTAGTCCCATCATTTGGATGATAGCATAATTGTTGGAATTACGAATGACATTTTTATTGCTGCCTATGACCAACATGAATTAATTTATATAGAAAATAATTGAGTATTATTATTATTCATTCATAATTCTATTGAGTTGTGAATGAAGAGAAATTTAATAATCGAAATTTTAATTAATATTAGAAATGTTACATTATAAAATTTAATAAATCGTTAGTTCGAAATGTTAATAAAAGAACAATAGGAATATAAGTTAAAAGTAATTGAAGATAAAATGGAGTAATTTGAAACAAGTCTAATAAAGAAGGTCAATCATTTAGAGGAGAGGATAAGGTCATTCAATTAGAAATTTGAAAGAATTGATGAATTGGGTGAACGAGTTAATGATTTACATTCATTGTTTGATAAGCTAAAGGAAAATTTTGATACAAAATTAATGTTATAGGAGGATAAAATAGCAAAAACAAATTACAATATAAATAAATTAAAATAAGAAGATTTTCAATAATTATACAACTTAGTTAAAAAAGCATTCAATACTACAAAGGATTTATCATTAGAAATGCAAAACATAAAAACAAAAGACATACGTCAATCAGAGGTTTTATTCAAATAGGAACTGAAATAATCTAATATTTTAGGAGAAAGATTATAATCACCACTTTTACATTAGAGAATGGATAGTTATTAAAAAAGTGATAGAATGCGATCAATAACATTAGAGAAAGATAAGGGTTAAGAACAGAAGGTAAAATTTGAAAATGAAGATTTGGAAACAAATAAACCTAATTCAAAGGGTATTTGTAAAAATGATACTTAAAAGTTGATAGATAAATATTAGTTCACCTTATAGACAAAATTACAAAATGAAAGTAAGTATTGATTTTATAATAAGATATTTAAAAATTGAGTAATGTAAAGATTGAATCATAAAATAGTGAGTAGAGTAAGATACTGACTTAATAGTAATAATCATTATTAGAGAGAACTATATCTTAAGATCATATTCCAAGATCAAAATACTTAAATAGTACAAATTAAATTAAAGAGTAACTGAAAAACTTAAGGAAATGAATTATTATATATTATATACATTAATAAATAAAGAATAATAAATTTAATTTTGTAATTAGAATGAAATAAAAAGCCCCTTAAATTTCACCTAATAAATTGTACGCAAGTCTCTTAAAAAAAAAAAATGAATCAGATTAATAATAAAAGATGTTGAAATCTCCAGTGATTCAAGGGAATGTATACTTAAATTCATTAAGGTATGAGATGTGTTAGTAAATTTAGAAATAATTAAGGATAATTAAGAGTTGATGCAAAGAAATCTAGACCAACAAGTGGAAAAGATCTAAAAGACATAAGCACAGTACTATTGAAAAAAACTCATGCCCGTTAAAATAGTAAAATAATAGAGACCAAAGAAAATTCATAAAACTTAACATAATCAGCATTGCAATTATTGTAAAAAATAAAGGCTGAGCGTCCAGATAATAAAATAGGTTAAATATAAACATCAAAAGAGATTTTATAATATCATTAGTAATTAATTTAAAAATAATATTAAAAATTGCTTGACTTATCTAAGTAAACAGAACATAATTAATTATAATAATAACAACAATAATAGCAATAAAAATAGAAATTATTTAAAGGGCCTCGTTCAATTAGTAATCCTGATATCTCAACTCTCTAGTTATGTATTGTAAAAGCACATGCAAAATCAATTCCTGGAATGTTATATACAGGATAAACAAAAATTAATTAAGATTCTTATAAATTAATTTAAAAATTTGGAACAAAAGAGAATGATTGGTATCTTTAGGTATCAGATGGACATGGTACAAATGGACATTAAGTAGCATAATTTGTATAGGAAATATTACCAGCCTATATAGAATAGGATGTAATGGAGGCTCCATATTATTATGATAGAGATAAGTAAGAAATTATATGCATTAATTAAGAACAATAAATAATATCTTTAAGTAATCATTTTTAAAGACTAATGATGATTTATTGAATTCAGGGATAGATGTGACATATTCTGGAGCAACAACAGTAGTTGTAATCGCATTTGAAAATATACTTTATTGTGCTAATATAGGAGATAGTCGAGCTGTAAATAAATAAATTAATAGATGTAGATAATAGGAAGATATGATACTAAATTATAAGTAGTAGAATTATCAAAGGATCATAAACCAGATTGTTTTTTGGAATAAGCTAGAATAATTTAGAGAGGTGGACGTGTTTAAGCATATAGTGATGAGGAAGGTAATCCAATAGGACCAGCAAGAGTATGGAAAGCAGATGAGGATGTTCCAGGATTAGCTATGTCAAGAAGTTTTGGAGATTATGTAGCAAGTTAAGTTGGAGTTATCTGTGAGCCTGAAGTTATTAAACATTAGCTTTTACCTTCAGATAAATTCTTAGTTGTTGCATCAGATGGTATTTGGGAGTATTTTATATATTTTATACTGCTAGATTTCTGTCAAATGAATGGGTCATTGAAACTGTTAATGAATATTATAAAAAAGGAGATGCTATTGGAGCTTGCAATAAATTAACTTAAGCTGCTAAAGAAGCTTGGTAATAAGAAGATGAAGTTATTGATGATATCACAGTCATACTTGCATTCTTCAAATGAATTTTATCTATATATTTAAGTTTATAATCATCTCTTAACTTCTATTTTAGTTTTCTTACGTTATCTATTTTTTTTAGTAGAATATTAGGCAACTCTAAATATTAAATAAAATTAAAAAAGAAAAGTTATTATTTATTAAATATAAATTAAAATGGATTATGAGTCATTGTATAAATTGATCCCTAAAGAACCAAAGAAATGGTTGACTTAAGATGTTATAAACTGGCTAAAATTTATAGGACTAGGATAAATGGAATAAAAATTTGGTATTTAAATATAAAGAATATAGTTGAATGTTCTATTGATGGAGCTGTTTTGGAAGACTTGACCGAAAAAGATTTAGACGAAGAATTAGGGATTACATAAAGAATTATTAAAAGAAAATTGCTTAATTGTAACGAGGTTATTAATTTTAGGGGTAAATCATGGACTAAAAGAATATAATGAATATATAAAATAAATGAAAATGCCAAATCTAAATAACAAGAAATAGTAAGATGAAGATTTCACTATATAAAAAAACGTTGCAAATAATCAATTTGAATAAATGTTGATAGAGAATCATGAAAATAATAGCAACGATTAATTCATAAGTTCAGTTGTTAGATAGGAAGAATTAGCAATCAAATAAGAAATACCAGGATTTAATAAATTTGAACACTAATTAATACTTTAACCAATAGAAGGATAATAATCTAATTTTTATTGTGTAAGAGAAGCAGGTGCCAAAATAGGAAGACATTCAAGCAATTAAATTCTAATTTTGGAAGAGAATATTAGTAGATTTCATGCTGAAATAATATTCTAAGATTCCACGGTATATAAAATAGTTATAAAATGTAGTTTGCACTTAAAGACATAGGAAGTACAACAGGAACATTTATTAAAATACTTAAGAGTTTAACATTAAAATAAGGTATGCTAATTGAATTGGGAAGTAACTAATTCTCAATTTAGAAATTAGATTTATTAGACAATGGAGGAATTGAAGTATGATTTAATAAAAATTTGTAGATCTCTTTATTTGTAGTTGAAGGACCTAATTTAGAAGATACTATAACATTTTAATTAAATAAAGATAAACCATCTGTTACTCTTGGAAGAAAATCAACAGTTGATATATCATTCCCTGAAGATCATCATTTATCTAATTAACATGCTAAATTTTATTTAGTTGATTAAACTGTTACTATTGAAGATCATGGTTCAACAAATGGGTAATTTCATTTCTATTAATATATTAGATCTTGGATGAGACTATCAGGAGAAGGTAAAATGAGTAATCTTTTTTATTTGGATCCAAATGAAGAAATCATTATAAGAATTGGAACAACTAACTAATATATTTGTCAATAAAATAAAATGAAGGTTAATGAAATCTCTGGTGAAAACTTATGCATTATATGTGTTGAAAGAGAAAGGGATTGTTTAATATTACCATGTAAACATAATGCCACTTGTTTAAAATGCAGTAAGAATTTGGCTCTTTGTCCCTTCTGTAGAGTCAAAATCTAAGAGACTATCAGAATTTATAAAAATTGACCTTTGATTAAATATATATATCTATTATGTAATCATAATTTAGATAATTTATCAATTAACATTGTAATTATTTTTTTTATTTTCTAAGTGTTCTCATGTACAACATCAGGAATTTATCCTTTTAAGTAATAATTTATATTTATAAAAACTTCTTCCTCCCAATCCTAATTAAAATAATATAAAATTACCTTCTCACAACGGAAGAGCCTTCTTAATTCTTCCAATTATTCTTGAGTAATCTTGAACCTTAAATAACATAATAATAACATTAAATGAATCATACATTATAAGTTATGTTGTAAAATTTAGAAAATATTCTAACATTTTTATGTATTATCCATCAATTAAATAAATTATTAAAAACTTAATTCTAAAAGTGAATTCATTGATTCTACTGAAGCTGGATTATTTTCTTTAAATCTTTATAATATCTTCTTTTAAATAGCTCTAAATTCAGTAGCCTTTTATTCTAAATCTTTTTGATATTCTTTTAAAGATAATTTTAATGTAAAATGTTCATCAATAACATCAAAAATATCTTTCAAAGGAACATCATCTGTATATTTAACATTATCACGTTCTCTGACAATAAGTTCATGTAATATAAAGCAAATAGCTTCAAAATTATCACTTTAAAGTCTCCATCTATCATTTTGTTTATTTGCAAGAATAGAGACAGTAGATTCGGTCAATTATAGTGTCATTAAACTTTAATTCAATAAAGATGAATCTATGGGTTTTATATCTTTAAATACGTTGTAAATTGATAAATTATTTACATTAACTGTAATTTTGTATTTAGCATTTTTTTCTGGTTATATCATATAACAAAAGAGATTAAGTGGTAAAGTAAATTCTGTTTGATAACATCCATTTTTATGATTACACAGTACTTTAACGACTCTATCTATTGGAAAATTTTTTGTAGAATAAACATTAAATTCATGTATGATAGTTCCCTATAAAACATTGATTTCAAATCTAGGATTGTTGATATAGATAGATTCATCATATGTCAATTAAATTTATAAATTTTCTATTGGTTATTTTGAAGTTATATTCAAATAGATTAAACATTGAATAACTAGGGATTCAACTTATAAGTAATCTTCTTTATCTTCTATAAAATCTCTAGTGGGTGCTAATTTGATAATTTCTGCATTAATCTACAATGAAGACTTTGAAGTTTATTCAAGAATAGGATTGCCTTCTTTGATTTAGATTTCTTAAAGTGTAGATGTATATAATTCATTTAAATCTTAATAAGAATGTTATTGTTCAACTTAAAATTATTTTTAAATAGATATTTGTTCAGTTCCTAAATATATAACTTGTAGATATCCTTCATCATTTAAGACTACAAGCAATTTATCAATTTCATCAAATTTTCCAATAGAAATACCATGACAAACATGATCTGTCTTTGCTGCCCATACTAAATTTAAATCTTTATAAATCATTAAATGATGTGTAAAAGAAGTTATGATTAATATATTATTATCAGTTACTAAAATAGAAGCAGGAGGATAATCCAATCTTTTTTAATGGAATATAATTCCACTTTATTACACTTAGAATAACATCTATTCACATATAACATAAAAGATATTCTAAGATGGAATTTCAATTATTTTCTAAGCTTATTCTCCTAAATTAAGTGTCCAATTAGGTTATGCTCTTTTCTTTTAAAGAGTACATAAATTAGCATATTTATAGGATTCCAATTCATAACAACTATTTTACAAAATAAAAGAATCTAATTATTATGAATAAACAATTGGACCAGGTAAAGGGAAATATTCTGTACTCAATTAACAAATGTGTAGTAATTATTCTTATTCATAGATCATTAAACAAGCATCACAACTTTATATACAAATTAAATCTTTTCTTCCTTATCCAAACTAACCTGAACACATATTGAATCCATTTCTTTGTAACTTATGTTCTTTTAGTATTTCCATATCTAAATTGTAAAATACTACTCTTTTAGGAAATAAGACACATAAAGATTTATTACCAAAAAAGCCTATCAGGATTTATAAAATAGGATCTTGCAAATTGATTTCTTATTTTAGATGTCTTGCATTATAATCACCTCTTTGAGGTTAATAGATTCTCAAATTACCTGAATAAGAGCCAACATAAATTATTGAATTGTCTACATAGAGATGCTATTCATCAAATTCTTCAGGACCTACTCTTGTTCCCCAGAACTACTTTGTATTAAATAATGACATAAATAATTAATATTATATAATAATGTAAGAGGAATTTGATATTGAAGTTAATTTTGAATAAAATAGTTCCATGACCTTTGAAATGTTTTAATACTAAATTATTATTAGAGGATCAAATAGTGTTAGATTTCCAAAAGCAGGAATTAAAATTAATAATGAAGGATTAACATCAACAAATGGAGAATAAATACAAAATACATAAGAATCTATTATACATTAGTAAATTAAAATTGGAGATGTTATTGGATAAGGAGTATCCAGCTATGTTTGTAGAGGATACTATATACATTAAAATTGTTAAGTAGCTTTAAAGGTTTAATCTTAATCTTATTTATATCAGATAATTAATGTTTTTGATAAGGATAAGAGACATTAGATGTTGAATGATTTAAGTACATTATTGAATGGTTGTGAATGTGAATAATTGATCAAATTTTATGGTGCATATTATGAAGAAGGTAGCTCTATGAATTGATTTTTGAGGAACTATAAGATTGGTACTTGAATATATGGATCAAGGATCATTGCGTAACATAATCCAATAAATCTATAAGAATAATTTAGTTGAATTAATGAATGAATAAATAATTGCCACGATAACTTATAATATTCTAATGGGATTATAATATTTACATTAATAGAAGCATTAACTTCATAGAGATATTAAACCAGAAAATATTCTCATAAATAGTTCAGGTTAAATAAAAGTGACTGATTTTGGAATCAGTAAATAATTAGAAAATACTATAGCAATTGCACGAACATTTGTAGGGACTCTAATGTATATGTAAGAGTGAAAAATGACTGATTTAGGTCTCCAGAAAGAACAGAAGGAAAGAATTATTCATATGCATCAGACATATGGTCTTTGGGATTGATTATTTATGAAATGGCAACTGGTAAACATCCATATTCTGTATAAAATAAGTAAATGACTTATATCTAAATGATTTAAAATATTTTGAAATCAGAATCACCGAAATTGGATAATTATCCATATAGTTTAGAGATGAAAGATTTTGTAAATATTTGGTAGAATTTAATATTGATTTTAGTTTGAATAAGGATTAAAACAAGAGATTAGATGCATCTACTTTATTATAGCATAACTGGATTATAAAAAATGCTTAAGATGGACAATATGTATAGAAGTGGATCATATAGAAGGATCAAAAGTTACAGTTAATCCAATAATAATGAATATATATAAATAATTTAACTATTTATAGTATATTATTAATATTTGAAACAATAAAAAAAAATAACTTATTTTTATAATGGATTTAGAAATAGTAATAAATTATGAGGAAAACCAACAAATAGTAAATGATTTATGTGAGTAATTTGATGAGTTGGAAGAATAAAATGAAAAATATCATTTATATATGAATCGAGGATCTAGAAGAGAAATGTTAGACAGAGTACAATTTAACAATTAATTATTTTTAGTATTAGGTTATGAATAATCATTATGCAATTTTTGATGGTCATAGATCATCTCATGTTGTGGATTACTTACAGCAAAATTTGTTACAAAGATTACAAAATTAAATGTCAGATGAGGAATATAAAAAAGGTATTGCATAATCATATATATTTGTAGTATTTAGAGAAATTGATAACAATTTAACATAATACATGGAATCTGGGTCAGTTGCTATATTATTGTCTATTTTAAATAAAACTGTTACAATAACAAATTTAGGAGATTCGAAGGCAATTGTATTTCGAGAGAATTCATTTGAATAATTACATTCTATTCACATTCCTTAATCTAAAGAGGAATATTAGAGAATAATTAAATAAGGAGGGTATTACTATTGTTTGTATCTTTTTAGTCTTATTACAAAGAGACAAAACATTTGTAGAGTTTCAGGATCATTAACTGTTACAAGATCATTCGGAGATTTTCATCTGAAAAAATATATCATCAGTGAACCTGAAATCTTTCGATATTAAATAACAGAAAATGATAAATTCATAGTTATGGCGAGTGATGGTTTTTGGGATGTAAATAAATAATATTAATTTTAGGAACTTTCGGAATAAGAAGTATTATAGATCATTCAGAAACTTGATTAAAACAAGAATTTAGCAAAATAGTTATATTAAGCAATATCGAGTGATTATATTAGAGACAATGTAACAATAATGGTATTTCCATTATGAATTTAATTAAATTCTGATTATTGTGTGTTTTATCTCTTCCTCATTAATTAATAATAAATAAATTAAAATAACGTAAAGAAATTCTTAAATTCTCAATAAAATAAATAATCAAGAGAAATATGCAATAATAATTGAAATATCATCTATTACTTCATCGTCTTCTTACCATCTTTTAGTAGATTCTCTAACAATGCTTTCCATCATTTCATCAATTTTTTTAGCATTCATTTAAGCACTCCAATAGCTGCATATAATCTATTGAACTTCTTCATTGCTTAGAAATTCCCATACACCATCACTAGCAATAACTAAGAATCCACATTTAGAATTCATCTTATGATAAATTAATTCTGGATCAGATATAACTCCAACTGTTGATGCAACATAATCACCAAAAGATCTACTCATAGCTAATCCTGGAAACTATTCATGCATCAACCAAACTCTAGCTGGTCCAATATTCTAACCATTTTCTGCCACAAATGGTTAAACTCTTCCTTTACTGACCAAAATTCTTTTCTTCTCTCCTGGTAAATCAGGTTTATGATCATTACTTAATTCAATTATTTTCCACTTATTTGAATCTCTATTCTATTCAATGAATATCTATTCTAATTATTTTTAACTATATACAGATCTTGAATCTCCAATATTTGCACACCATAAATTATTACCAGAAACAAACACACTTGAACAAGTTGTACCACTAAATGCTATATCAATACCACAAGATGACTAATTCTATATTTATCTACATTTACTAAATCTTTAGACATTTTTTAATAACCACTCTAAAAACACTTTTCTACTTCTGTATAAAACTCTTCTCCTATATCTATTTCTTTTTTCCCAATAAATGTCTTTATTTATTAATCTATTATTGTCGGTAAAACTCTTTTAACCAATTAAGATACATAATGTCCATATACTCCATGACCGTCACATATCGAGAATAAATATCTAAATTATATTATATTTAAACCTATTCTTTATTCCTCCAAAATTATTCGAAATAATAACTGAATCTTAATTTGTTTTTGTTTATTTATTCCCATTTTGACCTGCTTATGATCTTTAAAAATAAATTGTTATTCAAAATACTTAGATAAAAACAATTAAACAAAATCTTACAGTTCATCATCTTCAGTTCCATTAGAATTTACAAGAGCAGCTTGACTAGTAGATCTTCCATGTAACATTATTAATTATTAAGGCATTTTAGGTTTTATTTAAATCTCTTATACAATAGCTTATGAACTAACTCTACTCTATATCGAACGCAATTTTGGAGAAGAATCCTAATAAAATTTTAGAAATGAAGTTTTATTCTTAACTATCATTTTTAGAATGTACTTATGGAATGTTATCAGCATTACTAGCATCTGTTCTCTTACTTCTTTTTTGTGATTAACTAAGATCAATTCGAGCTTGAGGTTCCTATTAAGTATTACTAGATTCACTTCTTTTCAAATTTGGCAATTTAGTAGGAGATAATGGCTAGTGATTTGAATAGATATAAATGATACCTCATTTTGTTAATTTGAGAATTTAAAGATGTCTGGTTTATCATTATTATTACTAATTACTCTTTTTTTTGGCGAATAACTAGATGGTTAAAGTAATGATAATTTCTTTTAAGTAACCTATGATAAGATAACAAAATGATATTGATACAATCTTGATTTTTTCATCTTAATTGTTAATTCCTCCTGTTTGATATCTTTTTTAATTGCTTCTACTTTATTAAGAGGGAGGACTTAATTGGAATTTGATGATACTTTAATTGAAAAGTGCGTGTACGGTCAGATGCTTAAGGTTTCTTTTTAAGGCCAGGAGAATTAACAATGGAATCTTGAGTTGTAAATTTAAGTGGATAGACACGAATGGGATTCATTTATTAAAAATAATTAAGTTCATATCCTCTTATGGTAATATCACTATGGAGTTAACTTGAATGAAATTTAAGGTTATATAATTAATTCCTCTTAAAATAAAAATATATTACACCTTTAGTGAAATCAAAGAAATTAGGAAATTTAAGATTATGAATTCTAAATTATTCATCTCTAATTTCTGTGAAGAATGGATAAGATAATGCTTTTAATAGTTTAAATCTTTCTCTAAGAAGATACAAAATAATTTTAGAAATCAAATCAAAAAATAATGGATCAGGTTTGAACTTTTGGAAGACCTAAAAATAAGATATAAAATAAAATTCAATTTATTCCAAGGATGATAGGATTCATCTATTTAATATCTTCAATAGTTGAAGTACCAAGTATTTTAGTAATGATTTCTAGTTCAACTATCTGTAATATTCTCTCTTAGAAAAAATGGTTCTTCAATAATCATCTCAGCTATTACAAAACCGATAGACCACAATATCTATTGTAATTGAATATTCTGGTGCTCTATAATATCTGTAGAACAAAATATAAGAAACATTTGGCTCTCCCTTTTTACAATCTTTTTGCTGAACCAAAATCATAAATCTTTAAAATGTGATTATTTTGATCTACTATAACATTTTATGGCTTTATAATATCTCTATTACAAATCCAAATCCATTTAGTTATTTATACTTATGTTTTCTACCTTCGACAAATACCAAAGCACCAAAAATTTAGTTACCATATATTTTCAACAAAGCTCTTGTAAATACTTATTTTGCCTATTTATCATATCTGACCATCTAACTTAATGCATCACAAAATATAATCCATAACCAAATTCAAATAAACATCATCGCCATTTATGAAATTCATCTTCCATTGCCTAATCTCTCTGTGTTACTTCCTTTATTTTTATTAAAATATTGATTATTCAATTCTTATATTATTAAATGTTCTCTATTCATATAACGTTTATCTTAAAACACATTCTTTATTACCACTTTTTCATTTGTTTAATTATTTGTAGACTATTATTATTCTACTTATCACCAAATAAACCATTCCAAATGCCACATTTCCATCTATTTAATTTAAAGTATATTAAGTTGCTTATTAATTTTACTTGAAATAATTTTCTCTTATTTACTACTTTTTATTAATCATTTGCCTATGTTACCATCCTAGTTGCTTATTTTATTGAAGATTTCTTATTTATCATTTTTATATTTAAAATATTAAAAATATATTGAAGAAGATATGTTTTAAAATCTTCTTACTATTGATTATTCTAATTCCTACTATCTAAATCCTATTATTTTTCATAAATTAAATTTTCAATACATTTGATTTTCATCTGCTCTACATTTAACAACTATTTTACTTGTTTACTAGTTCCCAACTTACTTCAAATTCTTAATTGTTTAAGATGTTAATTTAAATGTAATGAGAATTTAATGAACATGCTTATTGATTTTATTTGCTATTAAATTTATTTCCTCTCGTCTTATTTTTATGATTAGATTTTAAAATATCCTTTAAATTTATTCATCTTACTTTTAGAATTATAAAGTTATTTTTTTCTTGGAGTATTTAATAGATTTAATTGATAAAAATAGAAATCAACTAAAATTATTACCATATAAGGATTAGAATTCGTATATTAACCAGAAGAATTAATTTCTATCCAAAAAGATGTAATGAAAATTATTTTTTAAACTTTTAATTTTTCATAACCATTTCTAATCTTATTATTAACGAATTATTCTTTAATTTTAATCGAATTAATTTTCACCTAATCTTTTATTAGATCATCAATTAATCTATACTAACTTTTTAGTAATATTATAAATCTTCATTAATTTATTTTCTAATTGGATGAATTCTATTTGAATGTCATTAGATTTTAATTCATCAATTTCTAATAAGGGTTATTTACTAATCCATTATTATAAATCTTAATAGCTAAAAGTTTAACAATCCATTATTTATTTTTTGATTGATTTAATCTAACCTCTTGTTTGTTTGAAATTCTTTTGTTCTTGAATGTTTATATCTAAATATTAGATTTAAAATTATATTTTGAAAACTAATTTTCCTTTATAAAGCATTTGAACAAATAATCTAAAACGTATTTATTTTTATTATAATAATCCTTCTTACTTTATCTTGATCATGATTATTTCTTGCATAGTATTTCATGATCATGTTCTGGTAATCCTTTTTTTAATTGTAATCAAATAAATAAAATTGAGAGTGCATCATATTAAAATTTAAAAAAATATAAAACATGGAAATCAATAGAAATAAGCCTTCAATGATTCAATCTATTTTAATTCTGTACTCATTTTATTAATTTACACAATCCACTTACTTTTCTATTGCTCTTTTTTTGCATTAGTTATTTACAAGAAATCTGGCTGTATTTTAATTAAAAACATCAATGATTTCTCCATTAATTCTTTACTCATAGGTATTTTATTGAGTAAATGTTATACTAAGTTATTATAAAATACAAATGAGACAGATCTTTAATTGAAATACTTAATTGTTATTTCAACAATTTATTAAATTTAATCTCTCTACTCATCAGAATATATTTAAAATGGTAATTGCATAGGAGCAATATCCTATACAAGATTTAAATCAAAAGTTGGAAAATAAATCTTAAACTCTTTTGAGTGTTCAAGAAAACTTTCTTATTCAATCAATTTCAAATAATTTTCATGTGTTTCTTATACTAATTTGTCTAATTTATTTCTTATTGATTCAATTCTTTTTTCAAAAATAGCTGGTAGCTAATTTTGAAAAGGCTAAAATTATGGCAAATTTTCTGAAGGAATGTCATTCAATATTAATTCAATAGATTTATTAACAATCTTTATCTCGTATAAATCTTTATCAAGTTTTAACAATTATCCAATTTATAAAATTTTAATGGCATTAGTTTTAATATCATATGTAAGTGGTTTTCTCTTTTTCCAATACGTTTACTCAATATTTCTCATTGTTTATAATAATTATTAGAATTTAATTGGCAATGGATATTAATCCGAAATCTATCCAAATCTCTCTCTGAGGCTTAGAAAATTAATAGGAGTAACAGGTGACACTTTAATTGATGATATTTTTGTATCTGTTAACTCACTAAGATGTCTAGTAGATTCATCTTCACCATTAGTGTTATTGTCCGACTATGTTTTTATTAGTTTGTAGCTATTCATCTTATCTTAATTAATTATTATTATTTACAACGAATTGCGGGTATCAATAAATAAACCCGCATTTTGCTATTTTAATTAATAGCGCCAAAAATTGAGATGCTATAGTAAAGCTATAAAAGTTTATAAATTAAAAAAAATTATTTATTCGAACTAAAATACAAAAAAAATGCATTCATTTTATATATTCACATTAATTCATCCCATTTATATCTGTCGTTTGTCTATTTAATAACTTACAATCTTCAATCTAATCTATCATTTCTTATACCTTCATTTAAAATTTTTTCTCCTTTTAATTAATAATTGTTTCAGTCAAATTTAATAAAAATTTCTGTATCTTTACATTCTTTCTGATTCTACCATCTACAATAAGTATTAAAGCTTTATGTGAATAAGTCATTTGACTTAAATTGTTCCAAAATTTACACTTATAATTTATTTCTCTTAACACCCTTTTTACATTTCTGTACTCTCAAAATTATTTGCTAAATATTAAGAATATTATTTATTGATATTTGAATATACAGTTATTTTTACACTGAATTATGGAAAACATATTCTTTACCGATGTTTCTTTCAAAATTCTTAGATATAAATACATTAAGATAAGAAAACTGTAAGAGATTATCCAATTTTGAAATTATGTAGTATGTTTGATTTGAATTTTAAACAATATCGTTTAAGAAATAATTAGATTTTAAATGAGTAGATGTTATATAGATTTTTATTTTTCATTTTCTGTTATCATTTCAACCCAATCCTTATTTATTCAAAATAAATATATTCGTTATATTTAATAAGATATTATTTGCTTTAATTGTCCTATTTAAAAGATAAAAAAATCATAAATATAAAACAAAATTGATTAAAGTTATTATAATTATAAAGATTTATCGATCAGGGTTGATGTATTTCATTTTCTTATTTTATGTTATCATCTTTAACATAATAGAAGATCGAATAAATAATATTATTTTTAATTAAGTAGATTAATTATAAAAAAATTCATAATCTATTATTTTAAAACATGTTCATGATATTTGCTGTCCATTAAAAATGTTAGTAGTGTAAGAATTATATTGGAAAGGTATCTAAAATAATTTCATTAGAAAATTTTGAATTTTTGTAAAAATGATAAAATTAATTTTTTATACTTAAATGAAGTTATAATTGAGAAAATATATTTTCAATCACATATTTATAATGAAAAAAGTTTATAACATATATTTGATATTTTAGTTAAAAATCTGAATGAAAAATTTTGGAATCAGTTAGACTTTTTATAAATAAAGTAATTTTTAATTTTTTATCTAAAAACTAGGATTTGTTCTGCCAAAATATTTGTTACCCTACAAAATGATTTTTGAAGAGAGTCATTTAGTAATAAAGAAGAATGATAATTAAATCATAAATTTGAAAAATTTATTAATTTGTAAGGCAATATTATATCATCGAAATGAAAATGAAAAATATGGTTTTAGTCTAGAGATTTGGGTATATAAATCTAAATAAAATTTGAGAAGTTTAATAAAAATTAAAAAATTTAAAGCTTTTTTAAATAGCTAAAGAAAGGCATGGAGGGCACAGATAGTTATAATTATGATGAAATGGAATTAGATGAATTAATGCTAACTCCTCCTGCATTAATCAGATAAAATGCCTTCATAGAAGATGAAGATGATACTCCATAATTCATACTTTAAACTTAAACTGAATTCACCTATAAGGAGGAGGAATGTCCCATATGTTTTTGTCCTCTTAATGAGGAAAATACTGTAAAATTATTGTGTGGACATGTTTTATGTTAAGATGATTTAAATAAAATAATATAAACTTAACATTCAGAGACCCTAAAATGCCATATTTGTAGAACTCTTTAGATTGTAAATTTATCTTGTGTTTGTGTTAAATGATATATTTGGTACTCTTTTAAAAATATATTTTCAAAAAACAATAAAAATTAGAAAAATTCATCCAAAAGATATTTTGGATCCCTTTTTCATATTTCCTATATTCCATTAATATCTAAAATAATAAATGAAATCATCTAATGCTTAATTGTTTTTTTATTTCAATAAAGTAATCGTTTAAAAATATCAATTTTTTATCTTCTTCATTACTATTATATAGTCGTTATAATATATATTAATAAATATCAGGTTAAAATAAAATTATTTCTGAACTATTTTAAAATGAGGTCGTTGTGAAGAAATTCATTCTTAAATTATAGTGAAATAAAAAATACATAAATAATGTTCTTTCTTTAGTGATTTATTAATTTATCGTAGTAGTAAGATCCCTTATTTTAATTCTTATATAGTA